TGATAACTTTGTTGTATTAGGATTTAGGACCATATGGCCTAATCGTGCATTGGGAATGACATTTTAGATTAGTCGACTTTGTGTCCACCTGCAATTTTATTGTCATGATATTTCATAAGGGATATACCAACATCTTTTTCTTTATAACATCCATGCCAAGTTCATGATTTTACTTGCGCCCAGTTCATGACGTCAAGGCAATCAGAAAAGATACCACTCTTGGTTTCAGCATATTCACCAGTAAATGCAGTCAGTCAATTGGTCCTTTTCCACATATTTGATGGTACAAATTAAAATCTTAGTGGCCTATTATCCACTCTTATTCAATAAGGAGATTTGGAGACATTTTTGTCGCTACATCAGTGAAACTATGATGCTTTCATGACCTAGAACCTCTTTGCTCCAGATAGGCCCAAAAAGAAGAATTAATTTCTTTGTACTTTGAGATGTCTTGTTAAGACAATAAGCATTTGTGATTCCATTTATATAACACGTTCATTTATTAAATTCCAGCCGAGGGTTATAAAGTTGTGAAACTTATTTTTATCTCCCTGGCATTATAGACTTGATCCTTTGCATATATCTGCCATGACAGCTTAAGAAATTATTGAGTTCGGATTTTATATTTGAAATACTTAACAAATTATAGGCTTTTGTCTGTTCTTTTTTTTTCAGTATTGGTTTTTCATTGGAACTACCTGAATATGAGAAGATTGAACTCATTTTATCTTTCTTTTATGGCCACTTTCTGATGTGATTTCGAGGGTGATCAAACAGGTTCTTTTGGCAAATGAAGACTTTGAGGGTGCTCTGAATCTTTTGGATCAATCACACTCTGAAGCTATTCAGCTTGATGTCCAGCTTTTTAACACAATTCTTCGAGAAGCATATATAAAGGTATTTCTGTGGCATGCACAATTTTTTAGTTCTTCATTCTAGTTTTTAACAAACAGCTGATCATTTATAATTTTGTCATTTTCTCAGAGAAGAATTGATGTTGTAGAGCTTGTTGTTGAGAGTATGCACAGGGAGAAAATCCAACCTAATCCTACATCCCTTTGGTATACATTCTCTGCATATGTAGAGAGTGATTTTCACAGCACAGCTATGGAAGCTCTACAGGTGTTGAGCATGCGGATGATCTCTGAAGACAATGAAATTCTTCAAGGGAAGAAATCTGTTTTCGAGGAACTCATTCTTAATGAAGACCCAGATGTTGAGTCAGAGATCATCAAAACTTTTAAAGGTTCTCAAGAGTTTCTTGCAACTGCTCTGATGAACTTAAGATGGTGTGCCATTATGGGTTACTCGATATCATGGTCTCCCGAGGAAAGTCAATGGGCCAAAAGGCTTGCCAACAAAGTATCTACTTGATTCTCTAAGACTGGTCTCACTCAAATTCAGCTGCCCCCTTACACTGCTGATTTGTAAAATATCAGGGGCGTGTGAATCCAACTGGCATCTAATGTCTGCATCTCTCTTCAGCTGATAACTCATTTCCCTACATTCAAATCCAGAGCAATCTGGGCTGTCTAGTCAACATCGTTTGTTGTGCTGACAACCCTAAGGATGTCTGAAGTTTGTGTCACCTAAAATGTTGCTGACCCTGTAGATACCAAGGCAAAAGCGCATAACTAAATTGGATCTTTTGTGGCCAGCATTTTCCATGTAGGTGACTGGTTCTGGAATCCTTGCAATTGCTTAGTGGCTGACAAAGTCAGAGTGTCAGTGGTTTCCGAATTCCATTGCCAACAGCTAGCTAGATGTTTTACTATATGTAGAGCATCTTGTATGTACTTCAGCGGAAGTCGACTAGGTTTTTGTATCAAACGTACAGATTCATGTACCTTACCAAAGTCTGCTCTCGATTTGTGTATTATTAATTTGTTAGAGATTGGTACACTGAACATTATTTTATTCCTGGATAAAATAAGAAAATTTATAGATCGAACAATCTGATTTTACCTAATCAATAAAATTTCACACTAACTTTTCTGCTCTACAGCAAGTTTTCTATTTTAAGCTTCAAGTTTGCCTGTTGATCTACAACAATGAAGTGCATTTCTCAGTCATCAGATGTTCTAAAACCTTGTTGCATGTCTGAAAATTATTGTGCTGTCTGCAATGCTTTAGCAATTAAATAAAGTATATTGTGGATCTTAAATTCTGCAGCTACCTCATGATCTCTTTATTACACTATTGTTTAGATTTTTCTTGTCTGGTATTTGTACTGCTGGTTTTAGTGGCTAGCAATCACACAAAACTGAGCAAGGTCTTTCTACTGAAGGTCTGCAACAAGAGTTCACAGCAAAGATACATATCATTTTTGTCTTTCATCTTGTCCCCTGTGCTCTGATGACTAGGAAAAACTGGCATTCAGATGACTCGATCAAAATGTAATCGTTTATCACACAGGAAGATGAGTATTCATTCATTCACAGGAGGACAAGCTCATCATAATGGAACTTCCTGTAGTCCTGAACTTTATCATGTGTTTTCTTTTCTTCTTTTTTTCTTTTTTTTCCTTGTTTCCTTATAATACACCTGCAGGTTGAAGCAATCCCTGGTAAATGAAAGTTGGGGCAAAATGTGATTGATCGTATGTTGCAGCTGAAAAGGATGAGCATATTGTGTTTGTGGATTGTCGAGTGATGACCCTCCTTTTTCGTAGGTACAACTAGGAAGTGAGGTTGTGGCATGGATGCTACTGATATCTGTTCCTATTAATATTATTATCTTTCATAGATCTTTTTTAGTGTTATGAATTTTAGTCTTAAAAAAATTTATATTGAAATTTTTATAGTTGAGACTTCTTTTGTATTTCGGACCTTAAACTTTAAGATCTATATAGTTATAAAAGTGAAACATTTAACCATATTTATCATAATGTCATCGGCTTTACAAACGGAAAAGATATAGAACGAATCGAAATCACCATTTTACCTATCATTTTTATGTCATCGTGCATGTATTGTCACGTCCGTCGGTAAAATCGATAATGTTAAAATTAATTAGGTTAAATATTTTATTTTTATAATTATATAAATTTTAATATAAATTTTTCAAGTCTGATGATACTAAATATGTCTAACTATAAAAATTTCAATATAAATTTTTTAAGTCTAAACCGATGATACTAAAGAGGTCTAACTAGACAAACGATAATTAGTAATTAGTTCAATTTATAATATAGATGAATCAGAAGACAAGTCCATCATCTGTGTATGTGTTTTTTTCTTGTGAATCTTCTAACTAGTAAATGAAAGTTTTTATGTGATTGAATTTAAGCAACTGCAAAAGGATTATTAGATTCTGTCTGTGGATTCCAAAGTCATCCCTCCTCAAAATAGCTACAACTGGGAACTGGGACAAATTATTTCACTCTTTTATTTGCACCAATTAACTCTTACTCTTACATAATTCTATCTATATTTGAATTAAAAAAAGCAAAACTAATATTAGTTATTAATAATAAGATACCAAAAGAATACAACCAGGTCAGGATGGCCGAGTGGTCTAAGGCGTCAGACTCAAGTTCTAGTCTTCGTGAGAGGGCGTGGGTTCAAATCCCACTTCTGACATTTTTTTTCTTTTTGTTTTTATTTTTATTTTTGTTTTTATTTTTATTTTTGTTTTTATTTTTATTTTTATTTTTATTTTTATTTTTATTTTTATTTTTATTTTTATTTTTTTTTTGTTTTTCTTTTTTGTTTTTATTTTTATTTTTATTTTTCTTTTTATTTTTGTTTTTCTTTTTTTGTTTTTCTTTTTATTTTTATTTTTGTTTTTATTTTTTTTATTTTTGTTTTTATTTTTTTTTATTTTTGTTTTTGTTTTTATTTTTATTTTTATTTTTGAACAGAAAATTAACAGTTGCAATATTTATTTTATTGTCTTAAAGTGGACCACTTAATTCCTTTAAAGAAAAGAAAAAAAACACTGACGATATTTAATTGAAGGACAGAAATAATTTTATTTTATTGCCTCTCTATGTATGCATTCACCTTCTGAACTCTTACATAATTTCACTCTTTTATTTGCACTAATTAACTCTTACATAATTTTATCTATATTTGAAGAAACAATATAAGAATATATTTGTTTAATTCTTTTATTTTAAGTTATAATAATAATAATATACCAAAAGCATACAAATAGGTCAGGATGGCCGAGTGGTCTAAGGCGCCAGACTCAAGTTCTGGTCCTCGTGAGAGGGCGTGGGTTCAAATCCCACTTCTGACATTGTTTTTATTTTTTTTTATTTTTATTTTTATTTTTATTTTTATTTTTATTTTTGTTTTTATTTTTCTTTATTTTTATTTCTTTATTTTTATTTTTTTTTGTTTTTATTTTTGTTTTTGTTTTTGTTTTTATTTTTATTTTTATTTTTGAACAGAAAATTAACAGTTGCAATATTTATTTTATTGTCTTAAATTGGACCACTTAATTCCATTAAAGAAAAGAAAAAAAAAACACTGACGATATTTTATTGAAGGACAGAAATAATTTTATTTTATTGCCTCTCTATGTATGCATTCACCTTCTGAACTCACTTAGAGACTTTGAGCTTTGCATGAATACCTCCAACCATAAACCAAATTTTGATTTGATCATCCAAAGGGTATTACTATGAGATGCAAATGGTTTTTTTTCGTAAGAGCAGATTAAAGTGAAATCATTTTTGCAACATCAGGTTGTAGATCAAAGATGACGGTATCGTATAAGCACTAAAAATCGGTCGATCCGCAAAATGATCGAACGAAAACCAAACTCAAAAAACGCATAACATAAATTAGTTTCCGTATCAACATCACAAATTTGCCATAAAGTTCAATTTCTTAAAAAGCAAGTCCTATAGAAAATTTGACTAAACTACATAGGCAAAAAAAGATAGACAACAGTGCAAGAAAATTACTACTCCTTTATTGAATATGAGAGATGGATTCTTTTAGAGTGCATCATCCATTAATCTTGCAGAAATGATGAGAAAACAATAATCCTACAAGAAATTTCCTCCTCGGTTTCACTTAGTTTCTCTAACATTACAAGAAATAGCTGGTTATTGTGTCTGAAATGAAAACTTCTACATCACCAGGAGATTTATTAAAATCTATAGCACTAAATATATCAACCACTTGAAACTTTATAAGGATAGGAACAATTTGGGTTGTGCATAATCCATTAATCTTATATGGTTGATGAGAAAAGGCCCCCCATGGAAGTAACACCTGAACTAATTTTTGAAGTCTATCACGGAGTAGCCGGTTGCTGTTGCGTGATGCAATGAATGTTCCCACCTCCAAGACAAATCTCCCTTGCACCTTGTATCATTACAACCTGAATGGCACAACCAACACATTTGGTTTATCAACATGTTTATCGGACTTGAAAATAACCAAATTTCAAAGAAAAAATGTTTGACATGTAACATAGACAGCAAAATCAGATAAAACATATTTGAATAAATAAATCAAATCACATGTAAGTGCTCAAACATGTCCTTTCACAAGATCTCAGAATTGCACGAACCAGACTGATCTCACTAGTATCAGAAGAGCATTTGATTGGAAGTGTTACAAGCTTATTTCATGGTTAGCTGTGCCAACAGAATGCACTCTGCCCGCTGCACTTAGAGAGAGCTCATACCAGTACTGAGAGAAATATTCAGATATGACAAATAAAAGGAAAAAGAAGTTGAGTAATGCCAACGAAATGTTACATTCAATCAATTTATGATAACAAAAAATTGTAGTGCCTTAGGGTCTCAGTGTTGTCTATCAAATTATGTCTCGCTCTACATATTCGTGTAACAAAAAGGCTACCAAAAAGGAAGGTGAAGATAAGGTGTGACAAGAAACAAATGGACGTTCATCTTACCTCATGATTAGGGAATGCTGACGTAAGAACATGATAAGCTTGTTGGTCCCACTTCTCATCACCAAATGCAGGTGCTATAATTCCACCGTTGGCAATATAGAAGTTTACATAGGAAGCAGCTAGCCTTGTACCGGCAAGTCTGGGTTTTGCACTCTCATCCTATGATTACATACGAAAAATTGAAGAACTTCCAAGCTTTAAATTGATAAAACCTGCAGTTTCTAAAGCAAAGCAATGATATTACGGAGAGCAGACAAGGGCAATGAAGACAATTCATAGAATTTGAAATATCAACAACCTAACAAATTGAGCTTCACATAAGTTTGACATGGTCTCTGATTATGAATTTCATTTCATGTATTTATTCTTTTGTTATTCAATCCACATCGGATGACTTCTCAAAAGGTTATCTATTTGGAGCTAGTCCTGTTTTCGGCTAACTTGTGCCCTTGCTCTAATTGAGAAAGCCCTTTCAATTCAAAAGGGGAACTCCACCTGAGGAACAAAACTTTATATGGCATATCAATTATGACGCACTGAAATGAGACAGTCAAACTCGCCTCACCTTTGAGGAAATGATGAGCAGATAAAGACTATAAAATAAAATTTTAAACAATGTTGCATTGCCTCACCTTTGAGGACTTATAAGGTGAACAATGTCAAATCAGCAATCTATTTTAACAAAAATTATAAATGGTCCTATATATATTATTTACTCCAACCAGAAAAGTAAAAGAAATGAAGCAATTCTAGATAAATTAAACAATTATTTACCATGAAGTATCAACAGGATAGTGATTGACATTTTGGATCACAGAATCAAAACAGACTGCAGTCTGGAAGGATAAATTATGCCCCAGAAACCTAAATGTAACAATGCATCTATAGGTTGGATCGGCATGCTAAGGCAATACTAAGGGGAAAAACTTTTTACACATATTCAAATGAATTGTCATTTTTTCTTTGGATTGGTATCCATGTGTTTCTACGTTACATCCTCATTCAAATCAATCTACAGATAAACATGTATAAATATGGAAATATGTGTTTCCTGTTCCAAATAGACATAGTTTGTTATAACTACTAATTAAACCATCCAAAGGAAGTATACCCATCAAACATGTCTTTCATGACTTGTAATCCCATTTCGTTCCATGAAATATTACAATGTTACTTCAGTATGATGTCTTACTCATGCTACATGTTCTAGTTTATCTGATTCAAACATTCAGTGGTCTTTCATTATATATACCATCATAACACGGCTAGCCTCCGTGAGGGCAATGGCATCCTTACACCTGGTGAAAAACCCACCAACACTCCTTATATTAAAAGCGAATTATTCAGAAAAAAAAAAGATGCCTGAATATCTCCATTCCAGAAAGCTTTAGCTTAGAGCAAGTACAAACAAAATGCAAAAAAATCGAAAAACCGTTATACTGACCAGTGTAACAAGTCCATCTGCTTCTTCTTTAGTAATATAAAGTGGCCCAGGTACGTGAAGTTTTATAATCTCTATTTTTCTATCCTTGGCATCAGTAGTATTGGATAGAACTGAAAATGCCTCTACTGACCGTTCATATTGTGGGTCTAGCTCATCATCTGTCCATGCCAACAGAACCATGCCAGGCTTAACAAAACAACACATGTTATCCACATGACCATTGGTATCATCATCACCTACAAGAGTTGTAAAATTGTAGCTGCTCAACAAGATAAGGCTAACAAGAGAGAGAGAAGAAAAAAAATAAAAGCCACATATCCCAATTTTTTAGTGTAATATACCCAAGTTAGGGATCATATAAGTGAAAAAAAAAGTGCGGTAATCTGCACTTGATAAGGTACAAAAGAAATAATTGAAATGGTTGTACAACAGGCTATGGAGAACACAATAATTGACAGATAACTAGGTTTCCCATATAATCATTTGCAGTTTATCAGGACATAATGATGCTGAAAAAAGGGAGAGTTGTAATTCAGACACATAACATTGCATAGTTCTCGCTTAAGAATATGGACAAAATAGAACAAGAAGATGATTTGGTTCAGGCTAGAACATATAAGTTGACTATTATGTGAAGGCCCATACACTATAGGATCAACTCTAGTGACATCAATCTTCTGGGGTCCATGGTTTGCCATGTGGGTTGTGGCGTCTAGGTGCCAGCATCAATAACCCCCCATTCTTTGTCAAGTACATCATGTTGGCATAACTTAAAATGTAACAAAGCCCTTGTTTTAAGCACACTCCCCAGACTGAACCAACACAAGCTAACACACAACCAGGCTTTCTATTGTGTTCCTTTATCTTCAGTTTTCACTTTTTCTTGATGATTCTAACAGCATATATACATCAACATAGCATGTGCCACCAACACAAAATATCAGCTAATAAAGGGCATGACAGTTTATTGATCCAAGTCGGTAATGTCAGGAACCACTCAGGTGCACGACAGGTTATTGATATAGGTCAGTGATGTCAACATCCACTTGGGTCACCTAGGAAATCAGACGAGTTGAGGCGAGGCAAGGACCAAGAGACTCAATGGGCTCTCGGTAAGGCACCTTCAACTGGGTGCCACTTAGACGAGTGCCTCAATTAAGGTGATGGACATCCTACATGGGCCACAAGGTCTGACCACCTCAATGGACCGTTGACATGGCACCTTCAGTTAGATGCCACCTAGGCGAGCACTTCAGTGAGGCACTCGGCATCCCAAATGATCACCTAGATTGGCCTATACAACCTAAACCTCTAAAGAACCTAATTTTCTTCCCCCTCCTCTCCTCCATCGCTCCACACAAAAAAAAAATCCAAACTCAATTCCAATCTGATCCATATCCAACATCCCTTAACCCAATACCAGTCCAATCCAATTCCCAGCTAAACAACCTACCCTGTCGTGCCCAACACTTGCTAGCACTTTTGCGTACCCTTTTACCATTGATCGCATCTCCTCTCTTTGTTCAGCATGTCTCCTATCCTCTTCTCTTACTTCCTTCTGCTTTTTCCTCCTTCCTCCAACAGGTGCTCCACTACCACCATCTCCTCCATCTTTTCTGCTCATCTCCCCTGTAAATGGCCAACACCATCAACCATGGCAGCCATCTCGTCTTTTCTCTCTCCTCCCTCTTCTTCTCTACTCTCTTCTCTCGCCCTCTCTTCTCTCGTATCCGTCTTCTTCCCCGCTCCTCTCTTTCCTCTCCCCAAGACCAACAACTATCATCGTCGTTATCCTCTCCTCTCTCTCACCATCCACTGTTGCCCTCCCTCTTCTTGTCTCCCTTCTTCTCCCCTCTCTTCATGGCTTAGTTAATCAATTTAACAAGACAATTTATTTTAATTATCAAGTACAACAACTGTAGATATGTAAAAGAAATCATCACTAAGAAGCACGAAAAAGGATCTTGGATGGAAATGCCACTACTTAAAGGGAACCAACAGGCTCTGATGTTGTCACTAACATGGTTCATGACTAAACAAATAAAGGTGGAATATTTCAGGCAAAACCACATGTTAATGTTTTGGTATAATGATATAAAACATCTTTCAAATGAAGTTTCTGTTTTAATAACTATCTTTATTCTTTATTATATTTTATAATCTTTGCAAGATAAGTGTCGATTTATACGGATGAGCAACTACATGAGCACCTAACACCATAGGTAAGGACCTTGGCACTTATAGCACACTAACATAAATGATCAATCAAATTCATTCCACACCATCAGTTTCTGATAAGCTGAAGAAGAAAAGGCAACCTTAATTTTGCAGATCACTTATTAGCGTTATGAAGGTTAGGAAAACACTATAAATTATAAAACATAGCTTGCTAAGAATACCATATAGTCCTCTGGGCAACCAAATGATCTTGCTAACCCCGAGATACATCATCAGCTCCTGCTCTATTTCTTCTTTTGTCATATCAGGATTCCTATTTGTATTTAATAAACATTCTTCTGTTGTAATGCAAGTACCTGTTAAAAAATAGCATAAACAGTAAGACAACCTAGAATTGAGCCTATAGAGACTTCATGCAACTAGCAAAATTAGTGCTGACATAATACATTGGCAACAGAGTCAAGGACTAAATATAAATAAAGTTTTGTGTACAGACAATAAAAAAGAACTGTCAAAAACAAGAATGGGATTAATTTGTAGATTATTTTTTATCCAATAGACAAGACCAAATTTCTATATAAAATAATCAACCAAGCTTGTTTCCAATACCAATAGAAATGTATTAGCAACACTTAGAAACAATTAAATTTAGTGCATATTCAATACTAAGAACACAAAAAGAAGTAATAAGGTTGATGGGTATTTGAGAGCTCTGTATGTCTGCAAAAGCATGAATGCATCACTGAAAGTGGCATTGATACAACTTGGACCAACTACTGACGGAAAGATAAAAGCTTCATAAACAAGTAAAACTTGACCAAGAAAATTTTGAGGACATAAGATTGCTATAGAAATTGTTAATATGTAAGAAAAACAAAACCAACACCAACACCAACCAGCAATGAACAAAATAAAAAGCAAAATCCCTAAGTTTCCAGTTAAATCCCAGAGATCAGGGATGAGAAAATAGGATGAATAAACAAATAATTTCATTAACAAGTCCAAAGATCTGAATGGCTGTGCTTACGAGGAAATCATGCTGACTTGAAATTGTATTAAATAGAATAACAGTATGGCCAAACTACTTCTCAGTAACATGGTTGAATTCTCTTCTTTGAATTGGAAAATATTATGAAGATGTAAAATCTAATAAGATTTAGATTCCCATGTGGGTTGTGGGTGTTAGACAATGCTTGACTCTCTCAAGACCATATAATGGAGCCACTTGCACTCACCAGTCCCTTTTTTCCAAATTCATCTCCTAGCAACTGGAAGCCTCTCCTAAAACATATTCCATCAGTATTAAGACACTTAACACTTATATAAACAAAATATAACTTAAAGCACTACAATAAATAAATAAATGATAAAATCTCAAAAATCAAGAAATAGAAAAACTCTAATTTATGATTAAATTTGACTCTTAATTAGGACAGTTTAAACTTTAAACTAAGATCCAACCTGTGTCAAAGGAGGTCAAACAAACAATGTATCAGCACAATGACCAAATATGTACCCATATATAAGGCTTTTGGAACATGACAAAGCCAATGCTTAGCTTTAAAAAAGCAATTTACAAAGAATATGGAAACAGTAAAGACAAAATTGGAGGGAAAAGCATTGCATGGTATATTATTATGAAGAAATGGATTATTTATGCATACTTCTCCCGATATTTCAAAGAACAAAAGAGACTTTTATATTTATAGTAGATCATTCAACTTCTTAGTTCTTCCATTCCAATAACAATTCATATATCCGCTTGGACTGCAACACATGTAAACAACTACACCCCATAACATTCCCAAACAATCATTAATATAAAATAGGGAAAGAAATTACCTTCTCCATCAACATGAATGCTTCCACCCTCGAGAACCATCCGATGAGAAAATCTAGGTAGTCTATCCAACTCGAGAATCTAGATGCAAAATGTCATAGATAATGAGCATTAAATACATATAAGCCTGCAATTATAAATCATGGTTACAGTCATAAAACTAGGAATGTTCCATTAACCTTCTTAGCTACAAGAACATCAAGACTCCAGTCACTATAGCAACCATCTTCTGGTCCTGGAGAACCAAAAATATGCCAAAATAACTTCCATGATTCTAAAAAAACATAGCATAAATACAATGAATCATTTTTTCACTTTAAATTCTCAATCACTAGCAAAGAAATAATGAAGACGATCCTAAATTGAATTAGTGTGTCTGTTCCATCTAAGGACGTTGCTCCCCTTCAGTCAATATATATGTTCTCCTTTTGTATAATTAGTCAAGCTATACATTTGGGTTCCTTATTTTGAAAAGCAAGAAAGACTAGTGAATCACATCATCAGATGACTAAATAAGATTCGATGAGCGAGGAGCAACATTCTTGAATGATTCCCCTGGCACAAGAATTTTTGAGACTAGGTTTTCCTAGTTAACAACAAGCTTCTTACAGATCATGTTCCAAACCTATCATAAACTAAACTCAACTCAACTCAATGCAATATTTAATTTGTTTTTCTCTTTAATTTCCATCCACTGATCCAGGAACCACAATTTCTCTTAACAATAACATTAACATAACTGAACAACATGATGATAGACTACCAAGTACCAACCATAATAAAATAACACAACATTAACACACACACACACACACCCCTTTCTTACTCATCTGTCTTTCTCCTACATTCAATTGAATGTAGAATAGATGCTCATGTTATGCACAAAGATCATGACACTCTAACAGAAAATATCAACTAATTATCGAAATAATATAAGTATGCAATATGTTTCCATGTAAGATAATCAGAATTAGTCATTCAATTCTTGCAATTCTATTTTTGGTACGAGAAGCCTATGCTATAATATCAAACAACACAAATGAAGACTGCCAAAAAGTATCTCTACGGATGTCACTTATACTATGTAAATTCATAGCCTACCAAAATGACATTCGAAGCATCACAACTCCCACTCTGATATCCCTGGCATGCCACATCCACATAAAATCAACTGCATCACTAAAATCTCGCCATTATAGGTAATATGGATCCTTAAAGGCACCCATTCCCACCATGTTGTTTCCACCATCAATTATGCCCAAATTCCTTCCCCTAACCAGAGGCTCACTCATCAGGTGCAACATGACTTACACAAGTTTTAAAGGGATCAAGCCCCAAAAAGAGATACCTCAATGATGCTCTTCAATGGTGCTTAATCACATAGAATAATCCTAATCCATAGCCCACATTCAACACTGGCCTATCCTGAAGTAAATAGTTAATTCCAAATTCGCAATGTCTTAAATAGAAATTATCCAAAGAGTAACCTACCTCTGTCAAAAATTTGTTAACATAAAATGAAGTGTATATCAATGAGATATTCTATAGCAAAGACCACCATCAATCAAATATAAGATGAGAAATTATCCAGCCATTTTAGGCTGTTCTAATATATTTCCAGATGAGTTTACTGTGCAGTTCATGTTGGCTCTCCTTCCTTAATCTTATATCGTATTAACAATTATTTCCTTTTCTTTTATTGAAAATATTTAATTATTTATCATCAGTGATCTGAATGATGCACGGCATGCAAAAACTAAGTTGCATGTGTGATACTTGTGATGTAGGGTAAAGAACAAAGACCAACAAAAAGAACATGATTATAACTTAAATTCATACCACCCCAGCAATTAAACTTCCAATCAATGCCTGCAACTTCACATTCCTGATCCCGTAAACTTGGTTTTCTGTCACGCCGAACAAACTAATATCAAAGAATGTTTATGCACTATAATTCCATAATAATAAATGGAAACCAAAACCAACAGGAGAATAAGTGGTAAACCGTTGGTCCAATATCACGAAACCAAGCATCATTCATGCTCATCTCCACCACACGGATGTTACCATTTCCATGAAGCCAATCATATGCTTTCATGTACTGCATATATCAATAACAAAGTTCAAACTCATCGAAAAAGATACATCTTACAATCACAGAGAACCCGTAACTTACAAAAACTTTATACATCAGAATGAATAAATTATGACTTCTACCTGGGCAGAACTAACACACATGGTAACTGGCTCAAATTTTGAAATCTCAGTTGCCACCTTGACAAATGTGCTCTGAGCTGGAAATGCACCCTCCCGCCAATTATCAAGACGTTCCTGAAATCCAAATGATTCTCGAATTTTAAATTGTGAAAAAGATTAACTGTAGGCAGATATTCATCATAACAAGTGCAAGAAATTTTTTTTTATTTCCAAAAACAGTTATATAACAATTCAATGTAAACAAAGGCACACAAAAACAGACTTTTATAGCTTATACAAACAAAGAGATGAAGAATAAGATCAAAAACATTAACAGAAAATAATTAAAGCAATAAAAAAACTTATGTCTTCTGATCACCAAATGCATCACCAATTCCACTGATCAGGTTAATAATGTACACAATTAATTTCCAAATCATTGATTATAGAAAATATTAAATAGAACTTATAAATACAAAGGTTATTCATCTAAAATAGAGACCATATCCACAATTTACCAATTTGGCACCGAAATCAAAGAATTGGCATTTGAATATTCAGGTAACAGTTATCCCTAATTAAAAACTTAAATTTAGCTGCTTATTAATGATTTTTTTTCTCATTGGAAAGAAGAAATTGTATTATCATAACAATAGGTGGTTCTTGAAGTATTCCTGGGTTCGCAAAGCAGCACTTCGTTGGTTTTAGGGACGGTGAGCTGAAGTAATTTTTGTGGGACGATTAATATAAGCAGCTCATATTCTATATTCGTGTGTATGAATCAAAGAGAAGTAATGAGAATCTTCCTCCCTAGTCTCCTCCTCCTCCTTTTATTCCTCCCCTTAGTTAAGAACAGAACCTATAAGATTATAATATGATACACAAAAAGAGGCTTTGATCAAAAGTTCAAGAGGAAGGAGAGAAAGGGGAAAGTACGCAGAAGTGCGATGTCAGCCGATGATCCATTACTGGAGCATCAAGATCGACCCCTAAACAGCCAAAGAGACACCAAAAGATGGATTTTTTTAAACCAGGGAAACATCAAAAAGATACGCAGTGTCGACCAGAATCTCAACATGAACACAAGAAGAAGAAGAAAAGAGAGAAAGAAAGAATCTTTCAGGACTCACAGGCCAACCCATCCAGCACTGTTGATGGGGCTCCCACTCCGCGGGCATGTGGAAGCCCAAAAGGGCCGGCTTCTCTTCCAAACATTTCGACATCCCTCCCACTTTCCACTGCCCCCTCTCTCCTCCGGTGACTTCTCGCTCTTGCCTCAGCCGCCCGTGTATCAGTACGAGAGAAAGCCGAGGCCGGTCCGGAACGCATTTAAGCGAGCCCCGGCCGTCGATACATCGAATCCAAACTCCGCGGTAAGATATAGGCGTCATTTCTTCTTTTTTTTATTTTTCTTATTTCTTCGTTCTCCTATTGCATCTGATTTGTTTAAATTGAACCAATTAATAACCAAATTATTAATAGATATGAACGAAAAATAGATATTCAATTCAGATTTATAATGAATTTAGATTATTAAATAGTTATTTTTGTTTGCTAGAGAATTTACTTAGTATATTTTTTAAATAGATAAATATATATTTTAGGTTTGTTATTATATTTTTTATTAAACCGAATCAAATTTAATTTTTCTTTGATCTTTTTTTTTCTTCTCTAATTACTGGTGCAAGCGGAAATATTATTGACATTTTGATCAGTCCGAACTCTATATGCATAGGATAATCCGAGGTGAAAGCATTAAACTCTCGAAGTACTACTTATGTAAAGACTGAGATTAAGAGAAATTTTCCGAGCCGATTTTTTATGCCCAAATTAGTAATACAAAGTATGAGTATAAACGAAAGTACCTAAAAAAGGTAAGTTGAGCATTTATATCTAACCGTAAAATAGATTAGAAGGAAAAAGCTTCTGTTGACTTTTCTGGTCACAAAAGATAAGAAGAAAACTTGTAATTACCTTTCTAATTGTAAAGGATCAAAAAAAAAATTTACGATTGCTTGCTTTATTATTTTTTTTTTCTAGACATTACGTGACGGTTATATATTGATGAATAGTTGATAATATATTCTCTATTAATTATCATTTATCATCTCTAAAAGATGAAAAGCATGAGAATATCAAGGTGGATCTGAACTAGAACTAAATCGATTCACTGTTTTTAAAAAATAATTACGCTAGTATCTACAAAAATGTTGTATATATGTAATTTTTGAATAGAGGAGATTAGAACCGGTTCGTACGGAATTTTGTAAGTAAATTGGAGAGGAATAAAATAATAAGAATATATGTTAGATTTTTTTTTTATATAATTATATTTTTTTGGTGAAATCATCAAAGGCTCTTTTTTTTTCAAATCACACTGAATATTTCTAAACTTATGTTAGAGTTATATTAATTTATAACTTAATTTTAAGAAAATGTTTTTACTCATTGCCAAAATAGATGAGGAAATGGGATGAATTTATGATCAAATAAAAAATACTGAGAAATAGTTTTTGACGTTTGTTATCATGATTTAATATTTTATAATTATATATATATTATAATATCTCATAAAATATCAAATTTTAAGTTAATTATATTAATGTTATATTTTATACCTTCGTAAACTACTGATATATGAGCGATAGAGAGAGCCGACAATAATAAAGTGTGTAGATGGGGGCTTTTGGGAAAAAGAAAATAAAAGAATAAAAATAAAATTAAAGAGATTATAAATAATAAAATATTTTTTTATTAATTTTTAAAAAAATATAAATATCCATATGTTAATAATCATTATGAAGACACCTTACAAAAGCTTTAGCAAATCTACATAAAATTTAGTAAAATTATGGTCAATTAAAAGATTTCTTGGAGAGAAAAAAAAAAATGTAAGGTGTGATTAGGAGGTTCTTTGCGTTTATTTTGGGCTAAAAACATCTAAGAATGAGACATTTATATTATATTGTTTTCGAAAAATCTTGCAACTGACCAAAAATTCATTAAATGTTATCCGATCTTACACTCGGAGGAAGTAGCGGTGCTAAAATATCGAGTTCCAGCACGAATCTTACAGATTGACGAAGTGGTGGTGCCCATCTCAATATACTTTTGCTACCCGTTATGCGATCACCTGTCACGGGTACCTCGCTGAGAAAGGGCAGCGGGGATTCATTCACCAATCATCGAATGGTAGTCGGTAGGGTATACCGACGGTGGGTAGAAAAGTTATTCTCATGGTCCTAATTTCGAGGGCCACAGCTCGCCACGCTGCGATATCTCGAACTCGTCCCTCCGAACGAGTGGCGTGCACGAAATCCGCGGTGTGAAGAAGCGAAATCCGGATTTCCATATACATTCGCGTGTAGAGGAGTGAGAGCACATCGTCTCGGGCTTCGTCTTCTTGTCCGAATCGGCCGCGATGAGCATCCAAACCGCATTCCGTGGCGTCGCGCTTCCGAGCCTCACTCCCGCCTCCTCGTCGCCCCATCGTCCCCCTCGTTTCATGATTCGTGCAGAAGGTTTGCTATCCTCTCTCTCTCTCTCTCTCTCTCTCTCTCTCTCTCTCTCTCTCTCTCTCTCTTCTTTTCCTTTTCTGAATTGAAGGGTTTGATTTAATTGGTAACCTTTAGGAGCTCAGAGGTTGTCGTGCGGTTTTCTGGATCTTCCTTTGTGACGATTCAGCTCATTTTTAGGAATTCTCGTGCAAAAAACCCTAGAAATCACATATTTTCAGGGAGGAACAAGTTGCTGTTTGATGAAATGCGCTTAACCATACCGTTGCAATCTACCGTTTTGGTATTGCGGGATTGTGGTACAAATTGGAACAAAAATCCTTGTACTATCACTAGCATTCATACATAGAGGAAATTAGATATTTAGAGTTCGCAAGAAGTACTAACTATTAAAAATAGATAGATCATATATGAAAGTTCTTATCAGATAATATTAAGCCTTGTAAATGCTATATATTGTCCGTACATGCTATGGAATAGTTTTAACATTTGAATTTTTGTAGTGGAGCCATCTGATAAATCTGTTGAGGTTATGAGGAAGTTCTCAGAGCAATATGCCCGTCGTTCAGGAACTTACTTTTGTGTTGACAAAGGAGTCACTGCTGTTGTTATCAAGGTAATTCTAAAGTATCAATCGCATATTTATTTGTAGTGCTTGAGTCATTTTTATGTTATTGGTTCTACTGTGGCTGTATAATTTACTAGGAACAATTTGCATCCGTACTCATTTATTAAACATCTAATCTTTAATGAGCATGTTAAAATTAATGATACTGTGTCTTTTAAGTTTTTAACTATTTATTACTATGATATTCTACTACCAAGCATACTCCAGAGTTTTACAGCTTTTCTTACAAAGATATAAATTCTTTAGCATATGATCAGACACAGAGAATGGTAAGAAGAATGCAGATTCATTCATGTACCATGATGAAAGTCTGCTTATACCCAGCCTTTCGCAGTTGAAAGTCGAAAATTTTAACTAGCTGAGTTTCTGGAGCAAAGTTGCCTTCTAGATGCTTTTATTTTCAAATTCACTAAAGAAAATGATTGCTATCTGTGTGAAGCATGAACCTTCATGTTGAGGATCAGGTTTGTTGAAGCATCTAACTCGTAGATCCTTTTTCACCTGTTTCTTTCCACAGAACTAAAGAATCTTTTACTTCCATAATTGCTGCTTGACATAATCATACATAAACTGCTATTTGTAGTACTGTATCACATACTACTACCTTGTTGATATTGTTATTCTTGAACATCTAAAAGGTTGAATGAGGACTTGATCTTTCTTCTTTAGGTTAACCAGGCTTCTACTTTCCCCCTATATTAATTTGCTGTCCACCCAATCACCCAGCCAAACTGTTTTTTATAGTTACAACTTACAACTATATGGCTGTATAAGAAAACATACTGCCATATCAGGATATTGTATTTATACAGCTATATAAATATAATGATGTTTTATAGCCATATGTATATCTGTACTAGATGGGGGCAAGTTAAGTTGCACCCTCAAACCAAGGGTAATGATTGAACGATTCATAGAAGAAAAAAGGAGTGGGGATAAAAAATTCTGTCATTTAGGCTTTTTCCTTAAAAATTGGTCATAGAAGGGCCCTAACATCAATAAGAATCAAAGCAGCTGCTTCTTAATAACTCCACAAGCTGAGCCAACTGATCTTTAAAGTATAGCCTTCAAAATTTTAAATTAGTAACAATGTAATGTAAAATTGATTTTTTTGCATTATTTTTTTTAAAAAAATTATGCATTAGCTCTTTTTCTTAACCTACTCATGCATAAAACATCAAAACTATCATTGTAATGAATTTCTAGATACTAGGAGTGCCAACATACATGTTTACCTATGACTTGATAATTGCCTCTTGATAAATTAAGTTTGTAGCTAATTGCATCAGTGCATGCCACATGATCTTGATAGCAGCACAATACTCGGATGCCTTCTCTTGCAATGGTCACAGCAGTTCTTTGTTGGGCGTACACATATGTGGAAATAAGTTAATGATGGAGTATACAAAATCTGCAACATTGTTTATTCTGATGGGACTTAGACTATTTAGTATACTACTAAATCTTCTTTTACTAATCTATGGTTTTGCCTATAGCTCTTGGTTAAGAAATTTCTGTAATTGCAAGTGTTGTCGGACGCACTGGTTGTAGGAATTATATATTGATCTTTTGTCTCTTGTTTCAATTTTTTTTATTCTATTATCTGGATTTCATTAAGACCTTGACTACTGCAAAGAATACAAGCATTTTGTTGAGCTAAGAAGAACTATCAATTTCCACAGGGGCTTGCTGATCATAGAGACTCAGTGGGGGCACCTTTATGTCCTTGTAGGTAAATTCTTAAAAATATATATTTTTAAAAAATTTAGATTATTGGTCTATCTCCTATGCACTGAGTTATGTTGTTTGGCACAACCTATGCATCAGGCATTATGATGACAAAGCTGCTGAAGTAGCACAAGGATTTTGGAACTGCCCATGTGTACCTATGCGAGAGAGGTGCTAATACTGATACAACTTTCTCTAGAAACATAGTGTCAAGCTGAGAATGAAGTTTATTATTTTTTGTTGATTAAATTTTAGAATCTCAACTTTGAACTTTTTAGAAGGTCTGGGAATCCATTTCACTGCATGATTTCAGATTTTTTGACCGCGAACGGGAGTTTAAGATATAATTTTGTTATTTGATATCCAAAATAGATCTTAACTTGTTCACATGATCTAAATCCATCCCTGTTGTCACATTCTCTAACAACTTACCTAGCAACAGATGATGAACAGCTTGGAATTATCTAATTTATTATTTGATTTGAACAAAATGGTCTTTTTAACTAGTTAACTTAGATGTTAATTCACAATGACTTGGTCTTTTATTAATGTGGTATTTTATTTGATTTGAACAAAATGGTACTTTTAACTAGTTCTTAGATATTAATTCACAATGACTTGATCTTTTTATTAATGTGGTGTTTTATTTGCTTCATTTTCTTTTGGTAAACTAATAAATAATGCTCCTTATGTGGTAGTCATACACTTGAGGGAAGTCTCTGTTGAAATATTATTTATTTTGGTAAATAATTTACTCCATGATATCTTTTAATATATCGTTGTGACTGTGCAGAAAGGAGTGTCATTGTATGCTTTTTCTCACACCTGACAATGATTTTGCTGGGACAGAGCAGGTATGTGATAAATCATTAGCTTTTGCTTTTGTGAATGTGTTTCTCGTTGTTGCGTCTGGATAGTCTGATTTAAATGACTCTCTCTTGGAGATACAGGTTGAAGTTCCGTTGGACCACATAATTACCTTCTACTTAGGATAAAGTTAAAGTTGAAGTTCCGTTGGACCACATAATTATCTTCTACTTAGGATAAAGTTAAAGATTATAATATCCTGTAGTGTAGCTTATTCTTTTGCTTCGAAACCTTGTGTTCATTTTGCCCTACTATTGAAAATATTAGAAGCTGTTATCTTGTGTTGTAGCACATGAAGATACAATAACCGGAAATCAATATAATCTAAGTGATTTCACTCCTTTTAATCTTTCACAAACAGAAAAAGTGATTGCTAATAACAGCATTCATTAATTTCTGTGCTTACTTAAGTGCTCAATGTTGACAATCTGAAATTAGTGGGAAAATATGATGACAATAGGTGTACTAAACATTTCAATCTTTCGTTTGAATTCTGTTAATGATTTGAAGTCTTTTTACTGGTAAGTTGAGGTGGTTTTTCCATCTCCACAATCATTTATGCAAACTGATTCCTCAAGTTCTTAGAGCTGTTTTTGGACTTGGTTAAAAAAGATTATGGGTATTCTCTAAGTCTCCTTTTAGACATTCATAGTTGAAGTAGTTGATTTTTTTATATTGCTAACAGTAATTAGTTGAAAGTTGCAGTAATTTTTTATATATATACTTGTGTTGTAACATGTGGCCTATTATCTGCATTCTCTGTGCATGCTAACTAACATCTAATAGGAAACCTCAGCTTAATGTTGAATGGCAAGAAATTAATTTTTATTATCAAACCCGATGAATTGTTCTATTACACATGTTTGTTATATAGGTAGCGACCGTTAATATTTTCTTCTTTCCACTTTGCACGTCAACTGTTGTTTATTTTCTTTCAGGCTATCTCCTTCGAAGAGATCAAGGAAACAACATCCAAGATTTAGCCACCTTTTGCTATTCTGAGTATCCTTATGTATCCACTATATTTGATCATATAGCAAGGAAGAAAACTGGCATTCTTGTTTCCTGCTTTCAATATCTACTGTAAGGTAGAAAAATTCTCAAGCTTGTAACCTTCTGCAAACATGGTGGATGTTGTGTTTATAGTTCTAAGGAATCTATGAGCATCTTGCCCTAGATCGTCAGCCATCTTCTTCCCCAGCTTGAACATTGAAGACGTCGACATGAATCACGGAAAATTTGAAGAAAAACTTCTCTGTTGATAAATGTAACCATTTGCCATCAAGAATATTCATCATATGTACTTTAAATGGCTGTTGATGACATGGGTTTCTTTCTGATCTCATCACAGCTGCTAGTTGTCGAGAGTCATGTATGCACAAATTTGAGATGGTATTATTCACTTTATTCCTATATGGTGTGAGGAGAGTGTATTCTCGCTTAAACACAACCTCTCTATTTTTTTTGGGTAATTTGAAAATAAAAAATGGTTTTCTATAACGTTGAGACAAATGCAAAGCGACGAAAGGGTCAACAATTGCATCGTCATTGATGCAAATACAGAGTGACTCTTATATCTTATCGTTAATCTTCTCATCCACAATAATCACTTACGGTTCTTAACGATATCATCATATCGTCCGTCACTAACCAGGATGAACTTTAAAACTCTCATCGTTGCTCTTATCATCTATAATACTCACTCTCACTCGTGATTTATATGTTTTACTTTTATAATTATAGAGATATTAATATATTTTAAAAAAAATTAAATTACTAAAAGTATTTAGCTACGATGGGTAGACAAGTTTTCTACATGGAAACAAGTGCAACAATTAGTCCTCATCAGTTTGTACAGTGCTAATGACTACAATATGATTCTTAGATTAAAGAACGGTACGCACAACAAACTGTTTCTGCCGCTTCCCCGTCTCACTTTTTCGCTCCCTCCTTTTCCTTTCTCGGTGTACCTCTATTCCTCCCTCCCTCCCTCACTTTCTTGGTTCTCCTGCTGTTTCTCTTTTAACGGAAGCCGATCCCTGAGCGATTTCCAGGCGAATCCCTTCTCGCCCCCTCTTTTCCCTCACTCCCTCTCTCGCTTGCCCTCTGCCAACCGATTTCTAGGGTTTCTCGCGACCAGGAACTATCAAGGTGCAGCTGATCTTCCCCTTTTCCTATACATTTAGGTGCCGATCGACCCGGCTTGTGAGAGGAGGAGGAGGAGTGGGAGATGTCTGCTCGGCCTCACGTCACCATCACTCTGGGCCGGAGTGGACAGGTAAGCCTCGCAGACGAAATCTCTCTGTAAAGCCTGACCTTGGAGTTGGATTGACGTTGGGTGGCTTCATGTGTTGTTGATTCTGGCCGTAATTATCTTCAAATGCTTCTGCCGAGTCGTCCGTCAACCTTGTTAGGTTTTGAGTTGATTTTGTTAGTTAGGAAGGGTTCGATATTCTGTTTTGGGTTTCTTGTATCAAAATCCGCGTAGATGGATTTTTGTTGGTTTGAGCTTGGTGCAGAATCTACATCTTGCAAGAATGATAGAGTGAAACTGAGAATATGGCTATTTGGATTTCTCATGGATTGACATTTCTATGATAACTAAGCCACGTTGTTGTCGGCCCATATCTCGCTCTGATGAATTGTAATTTTATGCACTACCATCCATTTCTTCAGATAGTATAAGGATCTTGTTTCTTCTTCAGTGAAAGGTGTAATTTGGAACGGCAATCTGCAAACATGTGATCTCCATTTCCGCTCCACTTTGTCATACTTGATTTGTCTATCTGCCGAATACAAGATCTATAGCACATGGTCTATTTATAAGTCTGTTGATTTCCCTTGACGTTGTGCCCAATGAATGGAGTGTAATCTAATGAATAGTTGAAAGTAAATTTCTTCTTTGTGAGAAGAAAATGTTGACTATCCCGACTGAGTTGAAGATTTATTGAAACAAAAAGGTGTTGGGAAGGAGAAGTTGGATTCAAATATGTTCTTGCTGAAGACAATAACACAATTGCTAGCGTTTCAGCTTGTGGCTTTATTGGACCATGGGCCTGTTGATTTTCTTATGGAACCAATTTTTTTTTTCAAAAAATAATTGATACTGCTGAAATTAATTGTTATCCTTGATTGCACTAGCGACTTGCGTTGCATATCTCGAAGTGTAACTTTTCCATGTTTCCAAGGGACCTTTTCCTCTCAGGTTTCTTCGTTTGGAGAAATTGTGTGTCTACTTATGAGATTTGACATTTTGCAACAAAAATGGAAAAGCTAATAAAAAGGTCTCCCTCAAACTATTACAACTGAAAATTTGGCAAATATCAACTGAAAATTTTGAAACTATTACATTAGGCTCAAAGCCTTGTTGGCCCTACCCTAAGTTAAAACATGCTCATGAGTTGAATTCAGGAGTCACCGAATAGTTTACTCCCACTTATTGGACTGGATAATTTTGATTAGTATATGTATATGTAAGTTTTTGAATCTGCTGTGAACGCTCCTCTTATGCGTGGTTAAAAGGAAAACTTTCCTGAAATAAGTACATCTTTTGAGATCTTAGCATCGACCATCTTGACCTTTTCCTTTTTTGATGATTGCAGTTTGTCAAGAGAGCGAGACCTGGAGCTGATTTTGGTCAATCTGACCATGACATTTCATCAGGAAGACACCAGCCAACAAGAGAAAGGTCAGGAAGCGACATGACCGATTCCAGTTTGTATGGGAGTCAACACAAGAACAAACGGTATTCTTTTTTCCCTTCTGACAGAAATAAACTTTATGTGAAAAAACAATTGTTTTGGCAGGGATTCAACTGCCAGTCTGATACCAGTTTTCGAAACTTGTTGAACCAGTATAATACTAGTATACCAATCGACCTATACTATCTGTGTTGATTGAATAAAATAGTACAATACTTAACCTGCTGTTGTCTTCTTTTGTTGTGACAATGATTTTTTAACCTTTTCTTAGAAAGTTTGCTCTTCTTATAATCTAATTTATGAATAGGACAAGCTGAAGATGGCAGAGTTTGGTTAATTGCATGGTCTACTTGGGGTAGTTGTTTATCTTACTTTATATGCAGCACTGAAAAGATTGCTCTTTTTAATCCTGATTTTACTATTATTCTAGTTTATTACAATCTTTTTCCTTTTTAAGATATATATGTTTAGCTACTCCACGATTTATTTCAATCTGTATTTTCTTTGACTATGATTTCTATTCTGTGCAGCATTAGAACAGAAAACAACAATTCCAGCTTAGGTGAGTATAAACATACAAACAAATCAGAATAAACATCCATCTTTAAGATCTTCAAGACTAATTGTTTTTATTTCATACAATTTTTTGTTGATGTTGGTGTCTTAAACAAACAAAGATCGTCAGATTGGACGAAATGATCTTCGATTTAAACTTATAAATAAAAGTTTATTTCGAAAAACTGGTACTGGAGGGGGAGGACAAAATGATGTTGATCTTCGTGAAAAACTCTCAAGGAACAGGGAGATTTCTTTCAAATCCAATCCAAGAAGGAATTTAAGAGAATTCAGAACTTCTGGCACTGTAAGGCGACTGCCTCCTACAAGAAGTGTAGATGATTTACTTCAGTTGGATTCAAAGAGAAAATCTTACTCTTCACGGACTGTCGATGAGAGAAGACATAGATCACCGGATAAACTTATTAGCAATGCTAGGGCTTTTTACTCCCCAAGAAGTCATGAGGATGCTTCCAGACATTCAAGTTTTATTAAAAATGGTCGAGTTAATTCTTCAAGAACTATTTCTTCTGTGGGCAAGACTGGACTTCTAATTGATGCAGGAAAGTCTGGTATTCGAGATTCTTCATCTGGGAGCATTATTCACAGAAGCACACGTAAGGTATATCATTGATTTCTGCAAATGGGTTGCTTGCTGTTACACTAAATTTTCGTAGGATTATAAACTGTGTACATGAATGAATCTACTCAACTTTATTGCACCAACAGATGAGCGATGAGTGGCAAATAATAAATTTATTTGGTTAGTTGTTACATGGGCATTGAGTAGGTATGCCTCTGCTCTTTCTGTGTAGGTGCCAGTTATATGGTAGTTTTTAATTTTCATTGAAAATAGGTGTGGAATTGAAAAAAATTCTAGATTTTTGGTTATTACCACATTGGGCATCAAGGAGGAGCCTGTGCATATCAGGATATCAACTTGGAATATACCTTTTTATGTAGTGGTGACCCCTGTTCCTTACCACCATGCAGACATACAAAGGAAAATGAAATTATTTGAGATTGAGTGAAAGAGGGACCTATAATTTGGAATTTAAAGATGAGACATGTATAAACTTGAGTTTATTTCAAGGTTTTCAATTTTGGGTTGGACTGGACCAGCAGGTACGTGTTCAGTTCTACAAACACACAATATATATCAGAATGTACCTCTGCGTAGAGAAGGGGGAGGGGAGGAAGGGAAGACGAAGAAGTGGAGGGAAGGATAGGGGACACTGCAATGGAAGAGGAGATGGGGTGTCAGTGGCAGAGGAGGATGAGGAGAATGAGCGTACCAATCAATAGGGCCTAGTGGTGGCAGATGCGGGTGACGGTTGGATGCGGATGAAAGCGAAGAGAGAGAGAGAGAGAGAGAGAGAGAGAGAGAGAGAGAGAGATGGGGGATTAGGTGTTTGGTGTTAAGGTTTTTAATTTTTTGAAATAAAAATAAAAAAAATAAAAACCCGGGCTAGGCTTACCATCTGGTCCAAGCCTGTCCAAGCCCATTATCGGGCTTTTGAACTGGGTGGTAAGCCAGGTTCATATGACTTAATGGGTGGTAAACCCTGAATCGCATATGGACCACCAGAGCTTCGGCAGTCCATGTGTTGATTTACATCTAGACCAGTAGATACTGATCGGTACATACTGAACAGGGCAAAATTGGATCCCTTGATTTATACTTGTTACATCAGATCACTTCTTTGTTATTTGCGAAATGCAACCAAGTAGCTTGTTCAATGTTTCAACTTTTTGTTTTAACTTCTTACAAGTATGTGATACATGTGGAGTCAAAATTATTTTGACATTGTCCTGGATGCTAGTTTGGGTAATGATACTTGTTCTCAATAAATTTTCTGGACTGTCTGGATAACCCAATTGTGAGTCCAATATATGTCCATAATCCACATATTCTCTCTTTCTTTATGATGCTCCTACAATATAATCAATAGTGTAGGCAGAACATGACTGACACTTCTAGCTCTACTTCTGGCAAACATAAAATTTGGTTGATGATATACATTCTAGAATCAGATGCATATACCGAGATAACATTTTGGAATAAATCAACAGGTATTTGTCATGAGGCAGACACCAAACAGACACTGTTCTTCATTGGTCTAAACAAATTGTGAATTGCCAAAATTTTGATTCTTCACTTCTAGGCTAGCTTTTTTTTTTGATGTCACCATGTAAGTTTCCATTTTCATTGTATAAGATGTTAAGACATGGGAATGAACATTTGGATATGAGCAAAAAGTGACATCTGATTGCTGTGCATGGGTCTAACATCTAGTTGACAATGCGTTTTAGTTACTGACTGCATAATTTGGGAAAAAGCTTTGTATGTTTAGAATGCTTATATTTAGATTTTAAGTGAGGCACTGTACATGTCTACTATAATTGGTAATTTGATTATTTGCAGCCTGAAGAACCATTTACAGTTTCTAGCTTTCTGAATGCATTGGGTCTAGGAAAGTATGCCATTTTGTTTCAAGCAGAAGAGGTTTGTTTTTGTGAATTCTTTTGTATGTCTATTTTGTCATTTTGATTCTTTAAACATGCTCAGAGTCTTTTATTAACATAAAATATAATTTGCAACCAGTTTTCAAGGCATTTCCACTGGTTGAGAAATTTGACTTGTCCTACTGTCCTGCTGACCTCAAACTCATTTTGTGGTCAAATTTGACTATTTGTTGAGCTCAGATGGTATTTTTGTTGGGATTTGTTGCAAAGATTGTTGAAGGATTGACGTCGTATGGACCATAGCTTGTTCTGGCTTATTGTTGCCTTGGTATTTGGTTCATGCATCCATTTTTTATTATTAGTAGTTACTTGCCTATTACGATTCAAGAGACACCAACCTGCGCTTGGTGAAAGATGGACAAAGCATTGTGTTGATTGGTTATAAACTTATATCCTCTACTTTTGCTACCAGATTAGTTTAAAACATTGTCATGGTTACATGTTCTCTGGAGAAGACCCAGTAGGGCAGAACTCTTTTATAAGTTCCAAATTTTGGGTATCTATGTCCATTTAAAGTGGTATTTTACAAAAGCTGTCAAATTCTCTGGAGTTTCAGCTTTTTATGTGGCCAGAAATCAACAACTTTTAAATGAGACCATTGATCATATTCTCCTTTCTGCCTCTATGCTGCATGTACTTGGAGGTCAGTTTCCTTTAAGAAAGATCGCCACCCTGAAAGATATCTTCTATTTGGGTTAAGTGGAGAAGAAGAACCAAACTATAGATGCATTGTATTTGGGTTTGGTTTGTTTATCCGTATATTAGACTGTTGGAAGTATTGAAGCATACAATCTTTTTGGGCATCTGTTATAATGCCCAGGGGAACCTATCCTGCAGGGAAGTATGTATAAGAGAAAAATTGATCTTTTTATATACTTTATTTGTTTCTTAATCTCATTTTAGTCACCTCACTGTTTAATTCCTTTGTTTCAACCCTTAATGAGACAAAGTTGCAGACATTTGCCTAATTTTTTTCTTTGAATAAAAATGTGTTACATTTTGATTAATGTTAAACACTTTTCAATGAGGACATTAATAAATTGATTGTCCTTGGATTTTATATATATATATATATATATATATATATATATATATATAGTGTTTGCCACGTCTTCAACTTGTATATGGCAGTATCTCAGGAACATTTATGTGACATTTTGACTTGCAAAGATTTTATGTTTCTTAATTCTTCCAATGTAAAATGTTATGGATCTTTTGTCCACCTATCTTTAGTTTAGAACCTTTTTCCAAAATCTTCTGATGTTACTTAAAAAAACCCTGTCACCATTGGTTTAAAATTCGATTATTATGTTGATTTATTACTTGCACTGCTTATTCTTAACAATCTGTGGAGTATCTCAAGCAGTCCTGATGTCTCTGAGGGTCTAGAGGTGGATCTCTGAATTAAGCTCCTAGAACATGATATTATTGTTTAAGAATGATTCCTTTAAGTTCTAGTCAATCAACAAGGTCTAGTGAATCAACAGACATTTGTCATCCTTCTTGTTAATATCAAGCTGTACTTAATTACTTTTCCTGTTTCCGATCAAAATCTATAATTATGAGTATCATTTTTGCATGTTGTGAAAGTTCTGTTGTAAAAGTTTGTACTTGACATTTTCTTGTGTACATATATGTATTTGTAGTGATGACCATCTATACATAGCTGGAGAAACCTCTGGTTTAGATGTCTCCCACAGTTAAATGCTGGTGTCAAATAATAGCTCAACCCAAACATTTTGGAAAGTGGATCATACTTCTTATCTAGTTCATTCGGCTTCTAACTCCAATTTGGTAAAATAATTCTGTCGTTATAACTTATGTCAAATAAGTTTGAGTTGCACATCCAGAGGCATCTGGTCTATTATGTATATAGATAAAATTTAGGGTCTTCTAGTTGTATGTTGAGATCAGTTGCAATAGTACACCTGTTTCCTGCAAAAAGTCCCATGTTTTCTGTTTAATTTTCACACATTAATTTCATAAATTATTGCAGGTAGTTACTGTTTGATGGTATAAATGCTGAGATGGTCTGTCAAGCTATCTCTGTCTTTTGGTTAGGTCAGTAGGAAAACGTATTGGTCTGCTTCCCCGTGTCAGGTCAAGATGAAGTAATTTAATTGGTTTCAGATCACTTAAAAGAACTTGATTTAATATGGACCATTTAATGACTAGGTGACCTTTTGTGACACCATGAATGGTACTAGCCATTATATGATTGTACATTTTTGTTAAAGAAATGATATATTATGTAAAATACCTGAGTTTGCAATGACTGATAATGCTGCTCCACAAATCAATCATTCTGAAAAGTGGTATTTATACATGTCACACAACATAAGAACCTTCAAACCTTCTCTTTGGAAAAATTATCTTGCATTTACTCCATGGAAAGTCATCCCATTGTGCTGCTCAACTACGTTTCCTGATATTTTCATCACAAAGATATCCTTCAATGCCATTCGTATATAGCCTAAACCTCCAAGTTTCGCAATATTGTTGACTCAGTATGTGATTATTCAATTGCAGATAGACATGACTTCACTGAGGGAGATGGGAGACCATGACCTCAAGGAACTGGGTATTCCCATGGTAATTATACTTTTCTTGGTACTGCATACTTTTAGAGATTTGTTTTCAGAAAATGACTGTGTTTTTGTTCTACTTGCACTGTCATCTTGAACATTTGAAAAATTAGCAAGGCCATTCTTGAACATGCCAAAGAACATGACATCTTGTGCGGTATGCATTAAGTAGATTTTCTGATGATAATTATGCCAGTAAAATGTTTCCCTGTTGCTGTATGATATCTCCGGATTTTAGATTCTGATGATAGCTGGTTCCACGTGCAGGGACCTAGGAAGAAGATTCTTCTGGCAGTATTATCTCATACAAAATACCACTATTTGTGAGATTGTCCACTTTGATTTGAAATTCTCAATTACATCATGCTGTGGGTGTGTTGTACATTATCAAAATAATGATCATTTTCATGTACTAGCTCCTAGCATTCTGAGGTTCATAAAGAATGATGACTTGATGAAAACCAAAAACTACGATAAAGGAATGTCTATTGTCTGGAGTCATTCTTGTACAGACCAAGTTATTGGAAGTCTAATGTTGTTCTGAAATGAAAAGAAAACACTTACAGATGACGAGTTTGATGCAGAAAACACCATTCCTGGTTGGTGACAGAAACCAAGAGGCATGGTGGGAAGGAAAATGCATTAGAAGCAGATGTTTTGGTTGCAAATCTTGTATGTCCTCTTCATGGAGAGTGGCACCACCTCTTTGCAGTTTGCAGAAGTTGACCGGGACTTTTCATGTCCCTCCAGTTTGGCCTTCTCCTCCTCACCTGCTTCGAATATTTTTCCTTGTGGTGAGAAGGTAACTGGTCATTGTGGTCTTGTTTAGCCAATTAAAATCTGTTGTTGAGATCAGAATTCTAGTGTTTTACTCGGAAATAATTACCATTCTCTCTCATGTTGTCTTGCAGTGCGTTTTTCTATGGAGAAGGCGTGGGCTACATTCCAGTGGAGAACTCAAATCTTCTCTCTTGCTTGATAGAACAAGATCTATGTTGATTCAGAGTAACAAGAGGATGGAGCAAGTGATTTATCTCTACATTGCCAACGCTCTCCAGTATCGGGTAACGCCTCTCTCTCTCTCTCTCTCTCTCTCTATATATATATATATATATATATAGTTTTATTGTTTTGCTTCGTCTTTTTGGTGTTGTGTTTGTTTTTTTTTTTTGGAGGGCGGAGGGAAGGGGCGGGGAGTTGTTGTGTGTTGGGCCCATGCGGGCCCCACATGTTATATTTCCGGTCTAGAGATAAACAACCAATCCACGGCACGTAGACCAGCTGTGGTCAACCCCTTTTGTACGGGGAGTTGGACTCTGTCCTTCACCAGCCGCGTCCAGCCCACTGATCCTTTGTTTTCTAGATATAAAAATTATCCTATGGTTATATTTATATATATTATTATTGGGAGCCACTTCCCATGTGGTAGCTAGATAATCTTAATCCATCCAATAAGAGCGACCTGCTCACTCACTGGGAAAGGGAAGGCTAAATTAGACTATTATGTTACTTAAATCTTTGTTATGGTACGAGTGCAGTGATGGGCCATCTCCTTCGTTCCAGCAGTAGACATTGCTAACTCCTGCTTGTGTGACTTGGAAGATAAGATGGCAAGTATTGTGAAATTGTGATGTGGCAAGATCCACCGTTCTATTATCCCATCTATCATGGCGGTGTCCTTATCACTGCCTGTACATGGAATCCCCTTCGTGACTTGGTTTGAGCATTGAATGCTAGCTTCTCTAGTAGCAGTGTTGAGCCGACAAGAAACATTGATATGACTTATGATGTTGAGCATTGAATGACAACAAATCTTGTTGTCAAAAAGGAGAGGAAGTATTTGAGGCCCCTCTTGGATGAATGGCTAGGATCAATTTGATATGATCGTAAAACTTACTATGGCATCCTGTTTCAACGTCAAGAGAATAATCTCCGCACTTTCTTGTACTTCAAGTCTTCCGTTTGATATGATAGAAAAACACGGTTGAGTGTTTTTTTATTCAAAGGAAAGATTTGGTTGAAAAAACTCTTCGTCATTTCCTCCGCAGTCAAACCATTACCAACCCGTATAATTATGTTTTTATTTGGTCAATGTCATTCTTACATAGGCTTCGTGAACAATTCCACTGCTATTATTGTATGCACTACGGCCACAAAACTAAGTTGGGAAGGCACGGTCGAGACCCAATCCAACAACTTCCCAAGCCTTTGATAGTAGCAGAATCTTTACTGCTGAACTCCATATGCCAAAAGCTCTTTTTACATATCTTGAAAATAACCAATATATAAAAGAAAAAAAAAGAGTAAAAAAGAAGAAAAAGAAGACATAACACTTCCACATATTACAGCATAAAAACTAAAAACCTGCTAAACTCACCCTAATATATCAACCGCGGGTTGATATGTTTATATATGTAACGACAAAACGGAATAGAATATATCGGACATTTAGAACGGGGAAGTTCCGTTGCCAACTACCTTGTTACGGCGCCGAAACGACATCAGCCCATCCGATACCACGTCACCGTCGTCCTCCGCCGGGTAGCCCGGCAGCAGCGGCGCCTCGTCCTCCTCCCCCCGCTTAATCGCCCGCAGTGTCTTCTTCGCCATCTCCCGTCGGATGTCACCGCTGTCCCGCTCCACCACCCTCATCAGCACCTTATCAGCCCCGGCTGCCCTCGCCAGCCTCGGAAACCTCAATCGGTCCCGGCTCATCCCGTACAGCGTCGCCACGCAGTGCTCCTCCACTGTCGCTCCTGCAGCGCCCCTCATCAGCGCCGCCACCGCTGGCACCGCCCCGGCGTCCATCAGCGCGCTCTGTCCCTCCCCGCACGCCGCCAGATTGCTGATCACCATCATCGCCAGCCTCGCCAGCACCGGCCCCTGATACTGCGACGAAGCGTCCGAGACAACCGCCTCCGCCTCCGCCACGGCGAGCAGCGCCCTCACGGCCCCGGCGGTTCGCGCGATCTTGGGTTGGTTAGGGCGGGCAACGGAAAGGTGACAGAGCGCCTTCCCGGCGTCGCGGCGGGCTCGGGGGCCGGCCGCGGAGGGGCTCGTGAACAGGTTCAGCAGCGGTGGGATGGCGCCGAGGGAGCCGATGGCCACCCGGTTCTCGCCGTCGAGAGCGAGGCTGTGGAGGGCGGCGGCGGCGTGCTCGCGGGCTTCCGGGTGGCCTCCTTTGAGCACCTCCACGAGCGGCAGCACCGCGCCGCAACGCACAATTCGGACCTTGTTCTCTTTCTCCAAGGACAAGTTGACCATAGCGGCGACGGCGTTGATCTGGACGGCGGTGCAGCGGGTGAGGAGAATTGAGCGGAGGGAGGCCAGGAGGTGCGGGCTGCAGAGCTTGATCCGGCAGTCGCGACTCTCTCTGGTGGCGTGGCGGAGGGAGGCCGCTGCGAATTCCTGCTCCTTGACATCGGAATCCATCCACTTGGTCAACATCTCCTCTTCCCACGCATCCGTCTCGATCTCGGAAGCAGGAGACACAACGTTCGGAGGAGGTAAGACCTCGATCTCGGAAGAGGAAGAGGAAGAAGTATGGTGCAAGGATGGGGATGAGGTAGAGGGCAGCGAAAAGGAGAAGCATTTGTCCTCTGTTTGCGAGACCGAAGAAAGACGAACTCCAGGACTCGTCGTTTCCTCGGAATTGCAATCTAATCCGCTCGATTTCGATCGCACTATGTCATCTTCTTCTTTGTTTGTTCCATCAGACAACGCCGAAGCCTGCAAGAACCGACCTTTTCCATCGTCTCCACCGCAGGAGAACGCCTTCTCTCGCAAGGCTTCATCTTTACGTTCCGGCGCTTCCAGGGTTTCGTCTTGTCCATCTGCTCCAACAGAGGGCGGAGGAGAAGCAGAGGAAGTGGAGGGACGGGAACTGGAGGGCATGAGGCTACGTACAAAGGCGCAGGCGGCGTCGGCAGGGACGGGGAGAGGACGGGGGAGGCCGTGGCGGTCGCACCAGTCGTGGATGGCGGACTTGAGGATGATGTTAGGGATGAGGACGAGCGGCGAGGTAGAGGATGAGGATGAAGAAAAAGGTCGATCGAGGGAGAGGTCAGGTGGGGCGACTCCGAGGTCGGCGCAGGCCTCGACGCATCTCCGCTCGAAGGTCCACCCGGTGGCGGCGACGACGACGGGGTCCGCCATGACCGACCGCGAGATGGGGCACCGGAACTCCACGGGCGGCTCCACGGCCGCCGTAGTAACCGAGGAGGAGGAAGAGGGCGAGGTGGACAGCGAGAGGTGGGAGGTGAGCTTGCAGCGCTGCTCGTCGCTTCCCATTTCACTCGGTTTCCATGCGATGACACGGCCATCCTCGTCTTCCTCCTCTTCTTGGAATCTTTTAGCAGTCGTCGCACGGAGTCAGCGGCGCGGATCAGCTGCGTGATAACCGCAGGGTGCAGGGACGTCCACGCTGTTAACGTCTGGGCCCGTCACGAAACAAAGCGATTGGAGGGTGAAAACCGGGTACGTTTCCATGTTTCCTGTTTTTACACGAAATCTGAACTTAGACGGCCGGCTCGTAATTTCCGAAGATCTTGACCGTCAATCTTGTCAACGCCAATAGTCTGATAGAATCGACGGTTCACATCTTCTGGGGTCGGGACATGGTTCAATTCCGTACGTTACATATATTATTCTCGCATCTTTCTCATCTCCATGATAATGAATATAAAAGGGCATGAAGAATCCATCCATCTTCCCACTCATGAAGAGACATGATTTGGTAACATATATGAGAAGCTCAAAAATTCATGAAGTGTTATCATATATAGTCTATATATAAATGTATGTGGTAGAGCTTGGGGCATGGAGATTACATGCATCTCTCCATGCCTAAACTACGACGACGATGGACGACATAATCCACGGTCGAGTCTTGATGAAAGCTTTCGTTGTTTAGGTGGAGAGGTTGTTGAACGCGTCGCAGCGTCGCCGGACCTCGCCTTTGCGGCCCGTCTTCACCCCAAGCACGCTGAGCTTCTCCATGGCGTGCGCGAAGTCCGTGAAAAAAGCGGTCTGGTTGGCGGCGTAGAGCTGCACGAAGGGCTTCGTCCGCGGGTGCGCCGCCAGCGCCTGGTCCGACGCCAGTAGGCCCAGCCCCCGCAGCAGGTTCTGGTAGTACAGGTTGTCGAACTTGCCCGGCGTCATCACGTCGTTGAAGGCGGCGATGGTCGGGTCCGTGGTGTAGTTGGCACACGCCTTCTGCAGCGCCTGCGCGAACTGCGGGTTCATCGCCGGGTCGTAGGCGTTCTGGTTGCGGCCGTCGTAGCCGTAGATGCGCGACGCGAACTGGTCGCAGTGCGAGAAGCCGACGGTGTGGGCGCCGGAGAGGGCCACCAGCTCCTGTGCGGTGAAGCTCTTCTGAGCGAAGAGGGAGATGAGCTGGTCCACGGTCATGTTGGGGCCGGGGAGTTGGCCCTCGACGGAGGCGGCGGTGGAGTTGAGGGCGTCCTTGCGGCCGAGGCGGACGTGGTAGAAAGGCCCGCCCAGCATGATGACGAGCTCGCGGGTGGCGAGGGCGAGGACGTCGGCGCAGGAGACCACGCCGGGGCACTGAAGCTCGAGGGCTGTCTTGGCGCGGATGACGACGTCGAAGCCGTCCCCGGGGAGAGAGACGTTGTCGTCGGCGTCGCGCTCCGCGCGGTTGAAGGCGTTGGTCGACACGAGCACGGAGGCGTCGCAGCCGCCGGCGAAGCAGTCGTGGAAGAAGAGGCGGAGGGCGCCGGCGGCTGTGATGGGGGTGGTGATCTGCTTGGTCGTCACCACCTCCGACACGATCTGCTCCGCCTTGGGGCACGTCTTCTGGTAGTAGGTGGCGGTGAGCTTGGCGGCGGCAGGGGTCGCGAGGAGGAGGACGGCAACCAGAGCCGCGATCCTTGTCACCAGGGCACGTCTCTCCATGTTTATCTTCCTTCTTCTCCTCCTCTTCTTATTCTTTTTCTCCTCCTTTTTCTTTCTTCAATGCTTTATCTGAATGGGATGATAAGATGATGAAATTGCTTCTTCCCCCCCGGCCGAAGTGGGCGGAGGAAGCAGAGAAAGAGTGAGACAGAGGAGGGTGCCTTTCGAGGAGGAGTAAAGAGAGGGAATGGGGGGGAAGACAGGAGCGGTTGGGAGTAGTTTCAGGGGGGGAGGACCGAGTAGGGACGATGAAGGAAAACGCAAGAATAGCACTATTCATATTTAAGATATCATAAAATGGCCGAATACGTATCGTCGTTCGATATACTTAGATCCGCGCATGTTGGAACGAGTAGAGTTGACCGAGACCAGTTTGTTGAGGCAGGAGGGTTGTAGTGCTAAGATAGCGATGCTATTATAAGGGAGATAAAGTGAACGTGTTGACGAGGGTAATAATGGCGATAAGACTCGGGTGACGTCAGCTGCCCCAGATGACGTCTCACGTCTCTGTTAACCTATCAGCACCTAGTCAACGCGGATCGGAACGTCGACCAAGGCACATTAACACCTTGCTCAGGCTCGATCCCTCACGCCACGCCAACATCGATGTCAGACGCTACCAGAAGTACGATCCTGCCCCCTGCGGACAGGTGCATCAGGCAATGGTAACCCTCACCCTTCGAGGAAAAGGAAAAAGGAGGAACACAACAGATAAAAAACCACATACGACTATTCACTAACTTGATCATCAAAGGGGTCGGACCGAGCTCCCCCGACCCGACCTGTGTGCAGGTGCGAAGACGGAGGTCTCCCACTAAACGCCCAGGCAAGGAGTTCCCTCCTGGAGGAGACAATGACCCCGTCTCGATCGGACCATCGTAATCGACCACCTCAGCGGTCTCAAGGGCCGCCTCGAGAAAATCCCCCATCATCCGGACCCGAATCAAGCTGCGTCGGCCCCGAGGCCAAGGCTTAAAGTTGTTTACACCAACACGTGTGTCGCCCACATTTTGACTACTGCTGCATATTCTTCTCTTATTAGATATCCCTTACATCGTAGGCCAAGAATATTTGTGGTATCGGGCAGTAAACATACATGCTCGTCACACGAGCAGACCATCGATCACATGAGGCCCTTCTAGCATGAATTGGCCTTGGTATCAGCAATGTGCCTTACTACAGGAGCCACATCTCTTTTTTTTGCATGACAATTTGACTTCATCCCCATACCTCGAGGAGCGGAGTGGAGCTCTGAGCTGTGAGCTCTGAGCTCTGAGCTTGGTTCCTTCAATGGGGGAACTCAGCCAATGTGTCGGCCGTACAAGTGGGGTCGGGGTCGGGGTCTCAAGTAGTTTCTCCCATGAAAATTTTAGGTCTATCTTAGATGCCTCTTCCTTCGAGGCAAACAACTCTTGGCTTGTATCTAAGGTTCCTCCTCCTCCTCCTTTTTATTTTAATTTATTTTTAGTTTTAAGCTTTGGGATGTCTATGGGTTAGATCGGTTTTATTATATGATTTTATTTAATTGGATAAACTATATTATAAGCTTGATTGAATTTTGATTATAATTATCGATCAATAAAAAAAAATTATGATATAATTTCTTACAATATGATATTGATGGAAGGGACTTTTTTTTTTTTTAATCTTAGACCCTCTGACATGACCTCCTAGAGACTACAATATGATACGTGATGTAGTCTTGCTATAGCTTTCGATATGGTACTATGAAGGATAGAAAGAGATTCTAGTGTTTCTATAATTTATGATTCAAATTATTCAGAATAATTAATGATTCACACGGAATGTATTATATATTAACCTAGTATTGTTTATTTAAAGGCCTATATATTTGAGTGTTATAGAAGATAGATTTAAGTTTATTGATAAATCATTGGCTGACATTATTAATAAAGGAATTGACTATAACTTAATATGATGATACTCAAGAGATTCAGGATCACATCTTCAATATGACTAATAAAACTATAAAAGAAAAGATTAGACATGAATATATATGAGTTTTTTCTTGTGCAGTTTATTTTTAATTATTTTTCTTCTTAATTTAGCTCATTCAAGATTCACTATAATACAAATATGTGTATTTAAGAGGATTTAAGATTAAGGTAGAAAAGATCTCATAATGTTCTAACTACTAGTTAAAGAATTGATAACAAGAAAAGAAAGTTAAAGTATCGTATACCACATAAATTTGTTGGGTACCTAAATGCTTGGTACACTAATGAAAAAAAAGATTTCACGGTGAAAAAAAATTGTTTTAAATGTAAGCCTAGGTTTAAAAAGCAATATATAAACTTAACCTTTATATGTTTCAAATTAAGCATTATATAGGTTTTTTATGGTACTTGATAGATTGATTTTGTTGTTTCAACTTATGTTACCAATAATATAAAGATATTTTTTTAATTTAAAAAATTAAAAAATATGAAAGATTCATCAATATAGAGAATTGTCTCAAAATGAAAGTGACAACGGTAAAAACTTATCGCCTACACTTAGAAATGGGTCATTTGACAGAACCTACATATGTTATATTTCTATTATTTCTAAAAATTTAATTATTCTATTAAGAATTAATGAGTTAGGATATTGTCTGGTAATGATAAACTCAATATATTTTATTATTTAATAAAAATTAGTTCTAAAATTTTATATGATAATTTATAGAGAAATAATTTGAATCCAGAGTTTACAAAGATATTGATGACTATATAATTAAATGTTACATTGAAACATAATTTCATTGATTAGAGATCTTTTATATTATGATACAAATGATTGGAGCATATTTGAAAGGAAAAGAAAAGAATTAAAAGATTAATGAAAGATAATATTTTAAAAAATTTAAAATTAATTTGAGGCATTTATATCTTTGAGATTGTCTCATAGAGATAAAAGTTTTTAATCTACAAAGAAGAATTTTGATCGAAGACTTATTTTTAGATATTTTATTAATTTCTTAGAAAAATTCAAGGGATATAAATTTTACTACCCCGATTATAGTTTAATGATAGTAAAATTTAATAACGTAAAATTTTCTAGAAAATAGTGAAATTAATTGGAGTAAAAAATTTTGAAAGATGTCACATGATCATAGTCAAATGCTAATATATTTTGGTGGCTAATCTATTTAGTGCTGGAGGATATTTATTAAAAAAAGAAAATGGCCAATCACTTTTGGTGCCAAATAGTGCCAAATACCAAGCTTTGCATGATTTTATCATTATGTTAGTATTATAGTCATGTAAGTTCGACATTAATGTGGGCTATAATTGAGTATAATATAGTTTATTTACGAGTATAATATTTGTTCAACTCATCTCAAACTTTTACTATCAAAGAAAAAAAAAATGATGTAAATAGTTACTCCATTAATTTTTCTATTTTTTATTATTATTTTAAGGATTTTAACTTTATTAATAAAAGATAGATAAACTCGTTGAATTCATCTAAATTAGTAGTTCAAAAGCTTTTTTAGGTATTTGAATAAATTGGGATGCTCTTAGTAAATTCATCTTAAAATCCATCCCCTAAAATCAAGAGATTTTTTACTCCTCCATGAATTAAGAAGATCCCAATCCTTATCTATTAGAACAGAATTTTCATAAGACCTTTTATTTGGGATTTTTGTTGGAACCCAATTGCTAGCATTGACCTAAATTGAGCTCATGTAATCCTCATTTGACTTGGCCGGACCAAATAGAAGAAGCCCACCTCATCCTTTTCTTCCACACAGTAGAAATTGGACTCATCATCGATCCGTCTCCCTCCTCTCTCCTCTTCTCTTCCTCGAAGGTCACACCACGGCGTGGCTCCCCGCTCCTTTTACACTCTTCCTTCCTCTTTCGAGTGCTACGGCGGCCTTCGCCACCATAACAAACCAAGCCCGTGTCGGTAAAGCGAACACTTGAAGCGTCCGTTAATGGAGCCCCCCGCCCTCGTCTCCTCCTATTCCCTCAAGCCCGGCCTCCGCGTCCCCTCCTCCGCTCCCCTCTCCCCTCGGCCTTCGCGTCCCTCGAGCCGCCCCCGCAGACTGCTATTTTTCTCTCTTCCTGGCTCGTGGCCGGGGTCGGAAGGCCGGGGGAGTTCGTTCGTGACCCTCGTCCCCAAGGCCGCCGCCGAGGTGCCCGATGGAAGGCCCAGCCGAAGTGACGCCGCAGGAAGAGGAGGTAGGAGAGTTTCAAGGCAGTCTCAGGCGCAGTCGACTGCCCCGTCCTTTCCCGTGAAGGAGGTTGCCTCCTTCGTGGTGCCGGCTGGGATGTTCGTTGCTACCACGTTCGGTATGCGGTTTGCTTCCCCTATCTCGAGGCACTGCAGCTTGCTCATTATTATGATTATATTTATTTCCAAATTATGATCTTGTGGGAAGTTGATTTCTTCGGTGGTTGTAGCATTGGTCTATGAGAAGGTGGGATCGTTTCGTAGTAATGCAATATGGATGATCATATCAAGTTGAAACTAAATTACGTTTAATAATTGCAAATTGGCATTCATAAGAGTTTTTAGAGCATGTTACTCCTGGAAGGAGCTTTAGGACTGGAAGCCATATTGTGATCAGTCGAGAATGGAAGGACGAACAAGTTACATGTATGATTTTAGGTGGGTGGTAGCACAAACTTTCTAACAGAAAGAGGGTTTCGTAGCATAGAATTTTTATATATTAGGGTTTTCATCAAATAGGAGAACTTTATGAAGGGGCAGCATGGTGTACGTAAATGGCTTAAGACTGATAGTAACAGTATGAAACACTATATAATGTGATAATGCTGTCTGATATTAGGTGTAGTAGTCTAGTACATTCTGTATTGAGATGAAAGACACATCAACAAACTCTACGGTCCTAAAATGTACAAATATTTACAGCTAACTTCTTTTTTGTTTGATTGCCAATCCTTCATAACAAAAAATGAATTTCTATGTGCCATGCGGTGATTTCAATAGGCGCTCGGGTGAGGCGAGGCGAGGCCCGAGCGCCTCGCTTCACTTCCAGGCAACGCACTTCAAAGAGGCGCCGCCTGGGCGCTCGCTCGAGCCCAGGCGCTTCGGGCGAGCGCCTGGGTTAAACCAGACGATCGAACCAGCGTTTTAGGTCTGGTTCGATCTCCGGTGCTTTAGTTGGTTCAATCGAACCAACTAAAGCATCGATATCAGCTGCCGCTGCCCAACCCTAACCCTGCTCGCCGTTCACGCTACCGCTGCTCGCTGCTCGCTGTCGCTGTCGCTGTCGCCGCTCGTCGCTCCTGCTGCCGCTGCCGTTGCCACTGTCGTCGCTCACCGCTCTCGCTGCCGCTGCTCACTTTTACCGCTGTTGTTGCACCCTTGGTCTTCCCTTATACTCCTCTTCCTTCTCCTCTTTCGAAAGTATACTGTTAACAGTATACTAGTAATAGTAATGTATTTGTATTTATTAGATTAATAATATATTATTTTGATTTTAATACTGTTAATTTTTATTTATTTGAAATTATTGTTAGGTTTCAGGATAAATGACAAGTGTACAGAGCAACTCAATAGAGTCTCCAATGGCATAAAAAAAAGATCCTACATGGAAGTATAATTATCTGAAGGATCCGAAAGATCATAATGCAGTGCAAAAGCATCAAGCTCGGCTCCTGCTATTGTTGAAGACATAGAGAATGAAACATATTTTGATGAAGAGGAAGGAGTCGAAGGACAAGAGGAAGAGGACGAATTCAATGAAGATGATTTATGTGAAAATGACGATAATATCGATTATGATGAATGACTTTGATGTAAAATTTTATTGTTTTAAATTTTGAAACTTTTTGTTAATGTGACATTGTGATTTTGTATCTTATATTTTCTTAATTTAATAACATATTTTTATTTAAAATTTTAAATAATTATATTTATTAATTATATTATATATTTTTATATTTTAGCGTCTCGTTTCGCTCGGGCGAGCGCCTAGCGCCTATTGGCCTAGTGCTTTTTAAATCACTGGTGCCATGTGTTTGCTATTTTAAACAAATTTTCCATATATTAATATTATGATAAACTCCATACATGACACTCTGAGGACTTGAATTTAAGACCTATCAGCTGCATAACACTGCACTAACCACCCAGATGTCTCTATAGAGACCTTGTTGCCATGTGCTATGTTGTGCGTTATGCTATAAAAATTCAATTTACACTAAACTTCATGTTGCTTTAACATTTAATCTTGCTCTAGTAAGTTGTTCATGGCACTAATTTGCTTTTTCAGCATGCAGTATTGTGGAAGGTAGTCGAAAACGTACTAATGCCAAAACCAAAGGGTTCAACTTCCAGGGCCAATAAATCTTCGTTACCTGGAATTAAGTGGTCTTTTTCTCCTGGTTCTAATCTGCAATCAGGTGCTAGTGTGAAGATTGAAAGAGAGTCCAAGCAAAAACTCAACGAATTTGCCAAAGAACTTCGGACATTCAGCAGTGTTGACATGTCAGGTGAGTGGATGGACATGCTAGATTACTTCTCATGGCATTTTATAGCCTAGACATCCGCACCTGTTCATAGAAGTTCATTGTGATATTGATATCTGGGTGATCAACAGGCTGAATTCATTTTGTCAGCAAATTAGTTTATAAAATTTTACATATGAAATAGACTTGAAGACCTTTAACAAATTTATGGTTTTGTTAGGTCGTAATTTTGGGGATGATGGTCTGTTCTTTCTTGCTGAAAGTCTAGGTTACAATCAGGTCAGTTCTTTTGCTTCATTTTCTGCATTCCTAACTCTTTCCTAAGTTTGTTATGGTAAATTTGCTCTGAACCAGACTTGTGGGGTGATTTTTAATCACTAAGGCAATACAGTTACAATGACTAGCTTGAAAGGCATCTAGATTGTACATATCATGTTGTCTTGTCTCAGGCAGCAGAGGAAGTGGACTTTTCTGGCAATGGGATTACAGCAGCTGGATTAAAGGCCTTTGATGGTGTTCTTCAAACAAATACTGTGCTGAAAACTCTGAATCTCTCTGGAAATAATATTGGTGATGAAGGAGCTAGGGTAATTTTATTCTTGAATTTTACTTTTTTTTGTGCAAATACTTATTCATATAAGACTGTGACAATTGGTTTTTTCTGGCTTTCTTAATAAGAATTTTGATTAGCTTTCCTTTTGGTATGAGTTCAATAGCTAAATTTATTCTTGTTAAAATGACATGTGACTGAAGTGCTCTAACTCATATCTTTTCTTTTTTTCTAATGGTCGGACTGGAGTGCCCCGCATATGGGGGCAGTCCTCATACCAGTCATGTTCCATACTGGTCCGAGTGCCATAGTCCATGCTTTAAATTACTTGTATCTCTAAATTTGATCATCTATCAGATTTCGTTATTTCTGATAATTGCAATTTGTATATCAACTATCATATGTTGGTTTTACTGTGAGGGCACTCTTCTGCACTAGAAAGATCACAATTTTCTGTTTTTCTCATGTTATTCCTTTTGCATCTCACAAAAACTTGAGATTACAAGGAGTATGCTTGCAGTGTCTTTCAGATATATTGATGGTGAATGCTGGTATTCAAAAGCTCCAGCTAAACAGTACAGGTCTTGGAGATGAGGTGATTTTCATTTTTCACTCTTTGTATGCATCAAATTTGTTTGTCCGTTGTAATGAAGAAAACAACTATTCATCGTGGTAAATTATGTTATGCAGGGAGCAAAGGCTATTGCAGAGATGCTGAAAACAAATTCGACTTTACGTGTCCTTGAACTTAACAATAATATGATTGACTACTCTGTATGACGTTCTTGTTGATCAATCTTTAGTGATTTTCAGTAAAATCTTGACCAGCTATGCCAATTACTGTTTGTTCTCTTATATGCTCCTTTTTTTTTTCTGAAACCGTATAGGGTTTTGCAAGTCTTGCTGGGGCTCTCCTTGATAATAAGGCAATTCGGTCAATACATCTCAAGTTAATGATGCTTTACACACACTGACTCAGTTCCTTGTAGTACTTGCTTTCTTGCATATTCAATGTTTTCCCATGTTCAATGCTTTCCGTTATTTGTTTGCATTTACTATTCCCAGCAAGGAAGATATTTAAATTGTATTTTGGACTTAAATCAGTGGTAACTATGGGGGTGCGCTTGGTGCAGCAAGTCTAGCTAAAGGAATTGAAGGAAATAAGTCCCTAAGGGTATGAACTCATCTTGAACTTTATGAAATTGGACTCTTAGTTACTCTCTATAGATTATTTATGAGTCTTCATACAAAATGAAAATTCTACTAAACTCTAAGTACTCTTATGCATGTTCTGCCTGCGGGTTGTGTTATTCCGCTGAAGGCAGACATGGCTGAACATACAAGAAACTGATTTTGCATCTATATATTTTGTCGTGCATCATTAAAAGCAACTGGTTTTTTTTGAAGTCTGCAAAAAAAATTATCATTAAGACACATTCATTAGAAACTTTGGCCTTAGTTATTTTTGTTCATCTTCATATCTGGCTTCATATTCATGATCTTGTCCTTATTTCAACTCTACCGCCATCAAGTGAACACAAAATGATGATGTTTCCTTTACATTTGATTTTGTGTACACTATCCACAAAAAGAAAAAAAATCTTTTTGAAAGTATTGAAGACTTTGTTCTATCATATTGTTTAGGTTGTAGTATTGAAAACAAAAGTTGGGGAAAGGTATATACCAAATTATGAGTAGTTCACAAATGGAGGCACCCTTGGGTTTTTATGTAGTTGTCACATGCTTTTCAGACATGAGTAACAATTTTACAAGGTGGTAATTATTTCAATAATTTTTAATTGATACACAATTTTCCAGGAAAAAAAGACAAAATCACATTTTGATTATTTGCACCGGTAAACGGTTGCCAAAACATAATTTGAAGGTAATTGTCAGCAGAATGGAGAAATTTGGAACTGATAAATCTAACCCCTCATAAGTTAGTGTTAAGAAGGATTCTGACAAGTAAGAACAAATAACTGGGAATTCTCTTATGCTAGTTGTAAAATATCTGTAAGGTGGTCAATAAGTTTCACGTAAATAAGGGATGCATGATGTTTGACTACTGAGAAATATACAATTTCATAAGACCAAACCTTACTCTTACTATTATTTGGCTTTGTAGAACAGTGAATTCCACTCTTTAGCGTATGTTTATTTGCAAGTTTAATTTTGGCCTGAAGTTCTTTTTTGAAATTTCTACCAGGAACTTCATGTTCATGGAAATGATATTGGAAATGAAGGCATTCGAGCATTGATATCAGGTTTATCTGCCCATAAAGGTGCATTATTTGGTTGCTGATTGTCATCATCGTTTATTTATAATTAATTGTCTTATTGAAGCTCCTCTTCTTTTGTAGGAAAAATAACACTGCTAGATATTGGCAACAACGATATTGGTTCAAAGGGTGCCTTCCATGTTGCTGAATATATCAAGAAAACTAAATCCTTGCTGTGGTTGAATCTTTATATGAATGACATAGGTGAAGAGGTATGGTCAGTTATAGTTGTTGTCTTAGACTTTGTATGTTCCCTTTGTCAGCCACTATGTGTTGGTTATCAAGGAAATTTAATTATGTACATTTTATGCTATATTTTTGGTCTCCTTTCCTGCAATTGAAAGAGAAAGCAGGCCTACATGTTCACATAGGTACTCTTCTTGGTAACTGACAACTGTTTTAAAACAATGTGGTTATTACGCTGTTTAAAATGGTGAAGGCTAGAAACACATGACAAATTTTCTCCTGTAAATAACTCACATAATTAATTGTGGATCATTCGTCAACAGTATCAATCTCTGCATTCTCCAAAGGTCTGAAGCCTAGGTTTTGTTAGTTACATATACAGAAGACTATGATATAGCCACGAGCTTTTGACTGGCATGATGGACTATTTTCTTGTTAGTATTTGTACATTTATGAACCACCATCTCAATGTTTTTTTAATCTCTAATATAGCAACCCTGTGGAACACATATCTAGTTAGAAGATGTAATGAGTAACAAGATATTCTGTAATTACCTTTGCACCATCATACAAATATGTTCAACCATTTTGAATGTTTCATTTGAGTGGTTCATATTCTTTTATTATGTCACATGGATTTATAACAGGGAGCGGAAAGGATTGCGGATGCTTTGAGAGAGAACCGCACAATAACTACCATAGATTTGGTGAGACTGGAGGACATCCTCCAACAAATCATTTATCGTTTCTCATAAAATTCTTCTATTATATTGCTAAATTAGTGTCTAAAAGAAGCTATTTGATTTAGTTATAAAGTAGTTCTTTTATTCACTTTTGTAATTATTTCTGACTTTGTTCTTAACAGTCTTATCAACCATCCCTTGTTTGTAAATCTTGATATCGTCTTTTTCATCACTACATGTTGTCCAGCTTGTATATTTTGGCTGTGAAAACATTCAAAGCACAAACACTACAACTACTCAACATTTTTCTTGCTGAATCCTGCAAATTCTACACTCATTTTTCCTTTTATTTATATTCTGTGTTGGGTTTGATTTAGTTTTTCTTTTGTGTGTGTGGGGGGGTTGGGAGGTGGGTGGGATGTTCTGATCATGATTATCAGAAGTGTTTTCCATGTGAGCTGGTATTCTCCAGGACTTCATTTGGGTTACTGTTTTTTTAGATTTCCCCATACGTGAAGAATCATGCAATTTGGATTTTTGAATGTGTTACATCAGTCTGTAGTCTCTTTACAGAGTATAATATCAACCCGCTAAAGGTTTAGTACCCCACTTCCATGCATCAGTTGTTTTGTCTGAAGAGGATAATATCACCCCGCTAAAGGTTTAGTACCCCACTTCCATGCATCGGTTGTTTTGTCTGAAGAGGATAACTGAAAAGAAACCTGTCTAAAGAGGATAAATGAAAGAGAATTTGTCTAAAGAGACTAAATGAAAGAAAACCACTAGCTGCGCTAGCATGAAATGTACCTAATTTAGATAACATATTTTCTAAGACAATTATAGGTTTATCTATGGAACTGCAAAAATGTTATTGACCCTAGTAGCTCTTTCCCTACTTTTCTTTCTGTCGATCAGGTGTTATTTTTTCCTTATCATTACTAACTGTTAAAGATTTTTTACTACTTCGTTTCCTTTTTAGGCCTTCTCTTTAGTTCATTTCCTATGCAGCACTGTGATTATGTATGCTAGTAGTGCCTTGCTATTGTTTTGTGCACGTGCATTTTTCTTATCTTGGGAAGGTTGCCTTTTGTTGAAGTTAATTTCTCCAGGCTCTCTCTTTTAGGGGTTTCTGCAAAGAACTAAGGTTGTTGAAGTTGGCTCTTTTCTTTTCTTTTTTTTGGATTACATCATTCAGCTTGCCTTCCACCTCTCTGGTAGTTATATGTGAGCACAACCGTTCAGTAAGACCAACATGCAACTAGTTGATCCTTGCATAACTAGTGTCATTTCTCAGTAGCATTTTCTGATCTTATACATGTTCAGGGTGGTAATAACATCCATGCGAGTGGCGTGAGTGCGATTGCGAGAGTATTGAAAGATAATTCTGTCATCACAACAGTGAGTATCCTAATCTGATATCGTGCTTCATGCTCTTTCTTGTTTAATTGGCCGAATCTGATGCTATTTACTTTCCAGCTGGAGTTAAGTTATAATCCTATTGGCCCTGATGGGGTAAAAGATCTTTGTGAAGTTCTGAAGTTCGACGGCAAGATAGAGACATTGAAGCTTGGTTGGTGTCAGGTAGTGTTTAATTTCAGTGAGATGTTATCCTGATAGAGCTTTTTCTTTTCCTCTTCTCTAACAGAATGTTTTGCAGATAGGACCAAAGGGTGCTGAGCATGTTGCAGATTGTTTGAAGTACAATACCACATTGACAACTTTGGATTTAAGGGCAAATGGACTTGGAGATGATGTATTGACCTGTGCATAGGAAATGTTTCCTTTTTTGCTCTATGGATGGTTGTCACATTGTGTTTTTCCCCCAATCATTCCTTCCAGGGTGCAGTCTGTCTGGCACGCAGTTTGAAAATTGTTAACGAGGCTCTAACATCACTTGATTTAGGTTTCAACGAGATAAGAGTATGTTCATCATACAAAGTACAGCTTGAATTTTGTGGAGTTCTTCTAACAGCTAGTTTTGTTTTATTATGATAACCTGCAAACTGGAAACAGGACAAGGGAGCATTTGCTCTGGCACAGGCACTCAAAGCGAACGAAGATGTAGCCGTAGCATCGTTGAACCTCGCAAGCAATTTTCTTACAAAATATGGACAGGTTAGCTTCTTTTTTTTGTGTTTCCGTTATCCTAGAATTTTCTATTTTTAACTTACGAGATTGAAATTGATTAATACAGGTTGCTCTGACGGAAGCTCGAGACCATGTATTTGAGATGAGTGAAAAGGAGATAAATATCTTTTTTTAGATGGTCTTTTTTGTTTTCCTCATGACACATTTTGCTCCCAAATTTGTAAATGGCCACAAGAGTCTGTTGAGCTGCACAAGTAATACCGTCCATAGTGATAAGATGGAGCAACTCATGCGGCTCAGTGTTTCTTTGCAAAGACCATTTAGGCAGCAATTGGAAGAGTTTAATTCATGTAGGAAACAGTCAGTACAAATTTTGATCTGTCAAGTTATTACTTATGTTTTTCTTGGATGACTTTGATATTGAAATCATGCATTTAGTATTTGTGATGTCTGAGGATGAAAGGTTGCAGTTTCTTGATGATGTTTATCTTCTTGAATTAATTTCCATATTTTTTTCATAATGACGTCCCCGGTCATGGTTGTGAATTTTTTTTATTTGAAGAGTTTTCATTTTCGATCGATGGCTCGCTATAATAATAGTAAAATAACTCAATTAGGGAATAAACCCAAGTATAATGATTCAAGGGTTTGGGCATCTGACCCTCCCACTATCTGAATGAAAAGGAGTGACTTCTTGCTTAATGTGCTTACTCAAGTTAAACATTCTTATAAGCATTAGAAATCATGATTCACATTAGCTCATCTTGCTTTAAGATTGCTGAAACTGTCATGTCTAATGGACAATAACAAAGGCTCATTTGCTGATCCTTACAGGCAGATTGAGCATCCACTGTTATCATTTTCTGCATGAGAAAATGATGCATAATATCTGGAATCATATCGCAGCTTTCTCCAACGCCATTCAACTTAGTGCTTTCTCAATAGAGATGACACAAATGAAGCAGCTTTCCTTAGTCAATCTGAAGCTTATGTGGTTGGCAATCAGTGTAGTTTGTTCATGCCTCGCCTTCTTGGACGAGTGTTACGTCAGTTCAATTTCTCCTCACTCTCTCTCTCTCTCTCGCTTCTGTTGACTTCTCTTCTCTTCTTAACAATCTTAGGTCAACAACACTAAACAGTCATTCTAATTCTTGAATGCTTTCTTAAACAGTGACGATCATATCTTTTTGAGGAATTAGGAAAAAAAAAAGTTGATCTTGATTCATTGTGGATGGAATCTATAGAGTTGATCCGATCTGATCCTTTTTGCAAAGCCCGTCTGATCAGATTTTCGAGATGGACTTCAAGATGAATGTTTCTTTGACTTAGGTTTTTGAGGACAATAAAAGATTTATTTCATTGATTATTGAGATAATATATAAGAAAGATTTTTTCTTAATTATATATTCAAATTACATAATTAAATCAATCATTCAAATTTCTATGATTGATTCTCAAATCATAGATTGATTGAGGATATAGGGAATGCAAGGATATCACTCTATATTTATCTTTATCATGATCTTCTATTATACCCCTATAATATCGAGTTTCTATCAAGAATATCATTCAATATAGTTGAAATGCCCAATAAGCAAGAGGCCTTGTAAGGGAGTCTACTAATTGGTGAGAAGTATAGACAGAGAAACACATAGTTAATGTCTGATAACTTGATTTCTAACGAAGTTAAAGCCAATGATAATATATTTTATGCGTGAGTAAGACATCAGATTGGTGCATAGGTAGGTGACACCAACATTATCATAGTATATAATAGGAGTAGATTAAGAGGCGATAGTAAATTCACGTAGCAAATTAGTAACCTAATTGAGTTATGTAGTGGTGGTAGCGATGACTTAGTATTTAGCTTTAATGGTGGATCTTCTAACTGTATTCTATTTCTTAAAACTTTAACTGATTAAATTTGTTCTAAAAAAAATAATGTAGGTTGATGTAGACGTTCTATCATCAATGTTGCCTGTCCAATCAGCATCGACAAAGGCATAAAGATAAAAAAGTCCATGATTAAGAATCCCTTTAAAATACAATATGACACGTTTGAGTACAAACCAATATGTGATAGAGGGTCGGTGCATAAATTATGATAGTTTGTTGACTATAAATGTGATATCTGAACATGTAAGAGATAAATACTATAAGGAACTAAATACTTGTCAATACTATATATGATTCATAGTAGAACTATCATCCTATAATTTTAGTGATTCAATAATGGAGAGTGGGGTGGCGACTTCTTTAGTATATGTTTATTCATCTTTGATAATAAATCTTAAATGCATTTCTTTTTAGATAAAAAAATCCAAAAAATATGAGTATTGAATAGCTTAAGGTTCTTAGATATTTGATAAATGATCGATCTATCAATTACTGAAAAGGAGTTACTTAATCTCTATGAAATTATTACCTATGATGATAATATTATCCACATAAACTAGTAGATATATAGTACTTCCCTTTTGTTGTTGTAGAAATAAGGTGTTAGACTTGAAGTTGATAAAGCCAACTAACGTCAAAAATAAGCTAAGTTTAGTATAACATACTCTTGGAGCTTGCGAAGTCCATAAACAAGTTTTCATAGTTAACAAACATGCCTTGAATATTAAGAAATAATGAAACAAAGAGGTTGCTATATAAATAAATCTTCAGTTGAGGTCGCTTGTAAGAAAGTCTTGTTAATATCTAGTTAGCGTATATGTCAACCTTGAGTAATAGACAAACTCAGGATGAGCCGAATTATCATCGATTTAATAATTAGACTGAATATTTTTATGAAATCAATACCTAATTATTGGTGAAACCATTTGGCCACTAGATATACTTTATATCTGATAATGAATTTATTTGGCTTCTGTTTAATTTGAAACATCTAGTTACACTAGATAATATTTTGTATGCAACGAAATAGTACAAGGGTCCATATGACATCATGGAGTAGTGCATCATATTCTTCACACATGGTTTTATGCTAATATGAAGGTTTTTTGGCTTAAGTGATGGTTGTAGGTTTAGTAGATTAAGGTGGAGAGCTTGTGGTAATATAGAGGTCAAGGATTTGACGTAGTTTGAAGATGTTTAGAGGAGAGCTAGTAGTTGATGTGGTAAGAGGTGTATTTGAGGGGGTTTGAGGTGAACTCATATGGATCCAATAATGTATGGTTGTTATAATGGCTCGTATTCCCGAAGGCTCATGGTTTTGAAAGGGAAATATGGACTCAATAAAAACAACATAATGTGATACAATGGCCTTTTGAGTTTGAGAATTATAGCATCGGAAAATATTATGGTCAAGAGAATACCTAATGAAAATGCAAGGCTTGGATCTTTATGTTAACTTATGTGAAGCATAAGGGCGTACCCAAGGATAACACAAATGATCAAATATTTTAAATTTTTGAAGATTTAAGATTTTATAAAATAATTTTGTAAATAATGACAGGTGTTATAAGATTGGATTGAGGATACTATTAATGAAGTAGATTATGGTTTCAAAGGTTACTAACCAAAAAATTACTAGTACGAAGGCTTGGTGTAAAAGGGTGAGACCAGCTTCAACTATATGTCGATACTTTCATTCGATAAAGCTAACTAGTTGAGATGTGTGTGATGGTGACTTGAGATGTTGTATATCATGCGGTAAGAGATAAGTTGTTCGAGCTTGGTATTCATCTCTTTCAATAGAGTAAATTATTTTAATGGTAGACTAGAAGAAGTTTTTGACTATTTTTTTCAAATGAGTAAAGACTATAGTGACTTCATATTTATGTTTAAGAGGATAAAACCATATATATTTAATAAATTAATCTATGAAAATGATATAAAATCTAAAATTATTAAATGAAGTGGTTGAAGTAGGACCCCAAACATCAGTGTAAATAATTTCAAATGGTTTAGAGCAGGATATGGAAGATATTCTAAAAGGTGATTCTACTTTATTTGGAAGTTGAAAGAGAATAACGAGAAAGTATCTATTATTGAATCGAGGATGATGGATGACAAGGTGATGTTATCACACATCGATCGAAGCAAAAATTGAGGTAAGAGCGGTTGACTACATGATTTGTGAAGCTGACGATCACTCGTGGATGTTATTTTTATTCTAGTCTCGAACCAAGGATGCCCCCATACTTAAATCCTTTACAAGAAACAGGTTAGGAAAGAACTCAATATATGTCTTATTTTGTTTATAGAATTGAGAAACAAAAATAAATTTTTTTTTTTGTAAGATATACACAAAATATTATTGAGTGTAAAAGTATTAGTGTGTGAATTAAATATTGTGAAACCAATGTGAGTAATAGGGATTATATTACTATCACTAATGATGATATCTTCATTGTCTCTATAGTTGTTATGGATGGGTAAGTTCTGTAAATTAGAAGTGATATGATGAGAAGCACTAGAGTCAACAATTTAATTACTTAGATGAGCAATTAGAGTAATCATAATATCTGCTTGATGCCAATTCGGTATAGTAGTAAGCTTGAGTTGAGACTAATAACATTTTATTGTGTATCCAATTTTGTCATAGAGTTGATAGTTGATTTTATGTTGATTATTATTACTAGGATGTCAAAGCTACTGATAGTTGTAACTGAAGTCATTTCTCAAGTTATTCGGATTAAAGTTACCACCATGATTAAAGGGTTGATAGTATAATAGAGGATAAAAAATAAGAGAAGATAGGAGAGTGAGGACTTAGAAGTAAGGAGGCTCTGATACCATATAAAATAGATGAATATATTATGGAAGGGATTTTTTTTATTCATTAAGATAATATGTATTTATTTCACTCAAATTACATAATCAAATCAATAACTCAAATATGTGATTGATATTCAAATCATAAATTAATTAAGAATATAGGTAATATAAAGATGTTATTCTGTGTTTATCTCTATCATGATTTTTTTATTATAATCTTCTATTTATTATCTCATGTTCAATTCAGTCATAGATTCAACATGAAAGTTTGGAAGCATTTCAAATTGATAATCATATTAGGAAGGTTTCTATTTACATTGAGTGACCATAGAAATATTTCTCATACAGTGGAACATGAAATTTTTCCGCATAAAATTTTTCGAGGTCGATCCCTCGGAAGATATATACGCATACAAAACCATATAAAGCTGAGAGGAGCATTTGTTGTGACTTCATACATCCATTACCTAGAGAAGACCTTAGTGTGACTTCATACATCCATGTATCTCTCTCTCTCTCTCTCTCTTTGTTCAGGTCTCTTCTCTTCTACAGAGTCCTCATTCTGATCCTTGAATGCTTTCTTGAACAGTGACAATCATTTCTTGTTGGAAGACTAGGTCAAAAAGACTGATCTCTCCCATTTTTCTCAGCTTCCAATTTGCTAAACCTTGCACCTTTTCTCCTCCTGTTTAACACTGTTATCACTA